TCTGCGACTGGCTTGCCCATTTTCGGGCGGGTGGGTGGGTCTACCTACATTGGCGCCTGGCCGATCCGTCGTTGGTTGTGTTGAACTATTAGGGCGTGACGGGTTGAACTATTAGGGCGTGACGGGTTGAACTATTAGGGCGTGACGGGTTGAACTATTTGGTCGTGAGTTTTTCTATTGGGTTGCAAGTTTTTCTATTGGGTGGCAAGTTTTTCTATTAGATGGGTAGAGATTTCAACTGTTCGGGTTATTTCTTTCTTTTTTTGTTTTCTAGTTTTTCTGTCTTCTTTTTAGTTTTTCTATCTTATATCTAAGCTTTTCTATCTTTTCCTTAGTTTTTCTATGCCTCCTATAGAAAAACTTACTATTTACTTGGCGTGACGCCTCGGACGTACTACACTTCTTGCTCCTTTTAGTACTCAGTTTCGTAACGATGAAGCATTTTATTTCATGATGCACACTGAATACATTTACTCTTAGCAAAGAGTTTCCACCTCCTCAGGTGCTGGTTTGTGAGGAGGTTGTTTCCTCTCGTCTATTAAAGGAAACACTTGAGCAACCTACCCCCTTCCCCTCTGTGTTGGACTCACCCCAAACTGGCTGCCAGTACTGGAATCGCAGGGTAATCGCTAATATTATCGTACATGGAGCGGCAATCAACAGAAAACGTCGATGATAAAGAAAACTACTTGCTCTACCAGGAAGTGCCAGGAGATTATGGGCGGCCTTCTCGCACGGGTTTCCACCAAACGTCACTCATCAAAAAGCAGGTGGTTAATTTACTAGGTCAGTGCGATGGTCCACTGCGAAGCAATTCGATGCCCATCATGCTGAACCTGAATCAATTCTGTAGAGAGTCCTACTTAGAAACTGATAAGGTACTTAATATAATACTTCTATCCGAGAGCGAGACCTCTCTACTTGTAGCTTTTTCCCCCAGGCTAGTACCCCTGATCCACAACCCTTGACGTTGACTTCTAACAAGAAGACTACGAGAGCCGAAAGCGAAACTGGATAGACCTTATGAAGCGCAATGATAGGTTGGCGTCCTCGCAAAAATACTATCCGGCAAAGGCCTATTTGCCTGCGTCCGCTACCGGGGACAAAGCCGGGATTTTTTTTGACGCATCGAAGTGCACGGCTTATGCCGTGCTCGTCGTCCCTGGAAGCGAGGATGAAAGCGACATCGAGAAACGCTATAGCACCATAGACAAAGGGTTTTGGTCCCCCGAAAAGGTCTCGCCGATAGGGGGTCGCGTCGATTGGCTTTTGCAGGTTTTAGACGTGCTCACAGAGGAGGCAGAGACCGAAAGCGGAGGACAGCTATCCGGTGACGACGGTAGCGGCATATTCTTAACCTCAAACGCCTTTGGCTCCGACTGGGGCCGGGAGACCGCAACCGCTCCATCTAAACGGATGGAAGAGAGGTATGCCGAAGGCATGATGTGTACTCCTCGAAAAGAGTAAGAATAATGGAAAATAGATATCCGTGTGTGATTGTGAAGTCTGGCGTTCTCGACGTCCTCTCGCTTCTATTTCGCTAGTGACAACAAGACGCCCAAAGCACATACACTTTCAGTTTTATATGCATATCCAGATGCTTTTGCATATATGTTTATGTTTTTCCTTCATTTTATATATTATTTGGAGCTGACGTGATTCTGAGTCCTACCCGCTCCTATGCATGTTGATAAAACAACATCTAATACCTGCAAAAAAAGCTGAAGGAGAAGAAAAGGGTGATCGATTCACGATGGGCGCAAGACGCGCTGGACAAGCTCGTCAGAACATATGAGCTCCTGAGTGGTCAGCTAAAAGTGAAGGAAAAAAAAATACAAGTTGTGGCACATTGCCCCATAACGGCAGCTGTTGGCCTGAGTGCAACGTCCCCCAGGCTGGCGACGCAGTTGTTCACGGGCATGGCGGTGCATGGCGATGGAGCACCTTCTGCCACTGATAGGAATTTTTTAAGGCTTCCGCTAATCCATCTCTCTCGGGATCCCTCAAACGTATGCGCCCTAACACAAGGGGGAATACTAACGCATACGCTTGAGGGCTTTCCCCTGGGATCATGAATGTGGGCGCGCTCTAACTTCTGGCTGCACTGCAAGCGTTCGCGACGAGTTCCAAATACGCAGCAAAAATTTGATTCCTATCATTCAACTGACCGGTAATGACGTGATGCCGTCTTATAGACAAGGACCACCAGAACACTTCTTCCACGAGTTGTTCAAGGACGGTCAGCGTCTTCCTTTCTTGTCTTGGAGATCGCCTACAGTCGTCGCCGTTGCTTCCCCTAGTCCGCATCAAAGCAGTTTATGGCTTCTGGATATACATACAAGGTTTGGTGCATGATTTTGAAAAATGATTACTATCTCGATCTTTTATCATTCATACACGGGACTTGATCAATGTGGACTAGAGGCATAGTATGATGCATTCGCTTACTACGTCTAAGAAGTGTTTCTTTCCTCAGTATCTTCCGTATGCGTGATCAACTAGTAAGTTGACAAAATAATATTTTTGTGTCGCGGACCCATTGTATGGTGTTTCTGCTTGTAGTTTTCCACTTCCTCGTCCTAGATTTATGAATCTACCGATGCTCAGAGCACAGAAAAAAAGTAGCCGACTAGTTTCATCGATCATTCGTCTCCAGAATCCAATACGATTCTTTATATTTTTGTATATTTTGTATTTTTGATTTTGCGTCGATCATGATGAATCTTATAATCAATAAAAGTTAATCATTACCGTTACAAAACCAAGCTCCGCAGACAATGGCAAATGAGGAAGATCCGCTTCGTGTTCTTTTCTCAACTTCTTGGTCGGGATATTTTCTCTCCATATACAACTCTAATCCTGCAAGTCGCTGGGAAAAATCACTGGCTTTACCACGGATATAAGGCGAACATCAACCAAGGTGCTGACCTGTTCTACGCGGAAAAGTATTATGAGTGGTCGCATGGCTTGCTCATACTCCATTCACAACTTGTTACTTCCGAACAAAAACAAGTCGAATTCGAATAGGAAAAAATACTAGGTCATGATCAATATTAAAGATATCTGGATATGATCATTTCTAATTAGCCTGGCGCGACTTTGTGGCGAACTTAGGACTGGCAACGACGTCGGGCCTATACCTCTCGGCAGCAGTCGTGCAGAGTGTTGCGACGAACGAGTTCGCATCCTTACCATCTGTCGATGCGGGAATCTTTTTCGATTCGAGTCAATGCGAGCGACCTTATTTCGTTATCGTGCATACAAATAAGGATGACCCCTTTGCAGCGCCATATATTAAAAAATACCGTCTTCCAGGGATTGTTCCCGACAGTAAATCAAGTCTAATGGCAGACGACGAAAACGATAAGTGGTTTCAGGATACCATGGAGGAGCTCATCGAGCTCGAGATGAAAGCAGCCAAGAAGAAGGAGAAGCGCATCCGAGTCTTCTTCACACCATCAGCTCTTGAGCGCTATAACAAGATCCCGGAGGAGATGAAGAGGAAGAAATCCAAGAAAGATTTTCAGCAGCTGGAAGCGAGAGACCAGAAGATATTCGAATATTACCAACGTTCAACAGATAGTAGTCATCTCTTCATCTCGCAAGAAGTCCTCAACAACATCAACGCAGAACTGCAGAAGAATGGCCAAGGCGAAGCTTCTTTCCAGGCAGGGAACATAAACGTTGTCACAAGATGCCCCGCCAGCGCAGCCGTTGCTTTTGTTAAGCATGGTAGTTCTGACTACAGCTAGCTCCTTGCTTCTGAGACGTCTTCTGATAAATAACCAGCTGCTACTTCTTGAAATCAATCAAATAGTGCTCTAAATGATAGCGCTCACCTTGTTAGGTAGCTCTCTAATCACAGCGCATCGACGCCGTTTGCGTATTCCGCTGAGCAATATTTTACCGGCAACCGGATGTATTGCAAAAGCGAAAGCACGTTCTCCTTCTGGAAACGAGAACTTTTTCGACAGAAGTCGTGCAACCAGTGGCACCAGCCAGAAATCCTTCCTCGAGGTTGCGGAATGAGTGTCCACGACGAACTGGAGCGAATTATCGACAAACACATTCCGATCATTAAGATTCGGGGGAACGGGCAGAACAAGGGCTTTTCTATTCGGTCTTGGAAGTGGATGAATAGTAGAAAAGTATTCGAGCTATCTGAAATTACAAGTGACGATGACGATCGTGACCCAGAACCGTTTCTGCTTCCTCTCAGAAAGTCTATGATTGTACAATCAGAAAAAGAGGAAGCCCTCGACGCTACAAGTAGTTTGTCTTCATCTAGCACACTTGAGTTGCAGAACAATGCAAATCTCCAATCACAGAACAAAGATGGTATGTTTGAACCGACGAAAGAAGTGGAAGTGAAAAAAGGCGCAGCCGCCGACCACGACGTGTAAGATGCTGAAGAACAACGTGAATGTTGTCGAAAAACCGTTTTCGGTTGACGATGTCGGAACTAACTTCGTTCCCAAAAGTACTCATGGTGTTCTCCCACCTTACAATTGATCTGTGGCCGTGATCTGCGATATCTGTTTATTAGAAGAGGATATGATCTGATGTACTTGTCATTGAGAACAAGACATTTGGTGTAGTGGTCCTCTAGTAGTTGGTAAATGTAGTGCAGAGCAAACGTGTTTTGTTGGAGACGCACTCTTTTTGTGTCGCCGAGACTACAACTCTGTGATGTGAGAGAGATTCCATTCTAGAGGCGCAACCATCTTGTCTGGAGTGAGGCAGATAGATCTGTGCAAATCCTGACTGATTGCAATTGTTTGATTCTTGATTGCGTGCGTGAGAATGCTCCTTCATGCTCCATGAGAGAGAGAGAGAGAGAGTGAATAAATGTATTGGCATGCTGTCGGGTGCAAGTACAAAATCACAGACAAAATTAGTACTACTAGAAGTAGCACCTAAAATAACAGCAGTTGCTCGTAATTCGATACTCAGCTACATTTTCGTAAATGATTAATAAATCAACCAAGATGATGGTACCCCATAGCACATTTTTTTGTCATTTTTGTAATAGAAATTCTTTTTGTCATAACAATGAATAGTTCTTGGGATTTCTACTGCGCCGCTTCGAATTCAATTATACTAAGCGTCTCGTTTCCTGCACTCCCATTTCGATACATACATTTATCGTGAAAGAGTCGGTTGCTGTAGGCCCCTACGCTATTGAGATGTTGAAGCATCGTTGTACTCACTACAGAATACGATCGGTTGCTTTTCATGAGTTGCGAGCCGAGCCACCCTTCAAGTCATCCTCTGTCCATCCGCCTCGGTTTCCGTGCATTCTCCTATAAACCCTGAAAATTTTAATCTCTTTAACTCCACGTCGTGGTCTTTCTCTTCTTCGGAGAAGACTCTTATCTGAGTATAAGCATGAATCATAATCGCGTGCTTCTTGTTCCTGCTTGCATAGTATAAATCTTAAATTGTCATTCCTTTTTGAACATCAGGAGGTGGAGGAACTTTGATTATAATTAATCGGTAGTTTTCTCCGTGCCAACATCCATAGTTGATATTAGTTTATCATGATCTGATCGCAAATCGAATTTGCCAGTGTCAATATCCTTTGCTGCGACGCTAAAAAAGTAAGGATGTGGAAAAACCGACAAGAGCGTGACCGTGACACCTATGTTGCCCGCCCTAAGGGTGAGGACGCACGATTGCGTTTCGATTCGGCGGCGTCGGCTCGGCATTATGGAGCTGAGGGAAGCAATACAAAGAATAGGCGCATCGACATGTTGAGGAACGAAAGCCGCGCTAGAAATCGTTGCGACCATGACCATGAAGCGAGGCGAAGACCACCTTCTACTAGAAGAAATAGTAGATCATCGTCGCTCCAACAGGAGCAGGACAGACGAGACAGAATACTGCGACACGAACCTACAACCACGTATCAGAAAAGAAGAAGATCAAGAACAAGACGAACATTTGACGCAGAGGATCAACGTGAACAACAAGCTACTTCGAGTACACTCAGAAGGACCGCATCAATTTTGAGGGGCACCAGACGTTTCCTTATATATCGAAAATCGCCGCGACAGTAGCGGGCGAACAAGCTCCACCAGATCGCCATCAGAGATACCTCGCAGGATGCCAACCTCGAAATCTTCCAAAGATCACGAGTACGTTGATATGCAGACGACCTATCGTTCAGGATCTGTTGCGAGATCAATTGCGAAATATGGTTATGGAAGTGGGGATTAGGCGGAGAAAATCGCACAGATTATAAAACGCCGAGTCAAAAAGCAAAATCACAATACGGGCGGAAGCGAGAGCGTCCAGTCATCGTCCTTTTCGGCTCGCGGGGACTAACAGATAATGTTACCGATTCAGGACGAGGTTGTGCAACAAATTTTCGCTCCACTCGCACTTCCTGATATGCCGACGGTTGTGCAGGAGTCCGTGAAGGTGCTGGAGCAAGAAACGGGATGGAAGGCCGATGAGGCAGAAGCTGTGACTGGTTGCAACCTGGCTGCGAAGATCATAGGCCACTAACTCGAAACAGGAGAGTTTCTTCATGCGTCTGCTTCAATGTCATAGCTCGCGCACGTCGGCGATTCCACATTGACGCTAGTGCTGCGATCAGAAGCGCAGGAGCGTGGCGCCCCTCCGAGGCTAAGGCAGTATGCAACCTCGAAACTTTGGTCGCACTTTGGGCTCGCAGGTGACACTGAGCGCCAGCATACGAAAGCAGAAAACCGCAATGCTTACAAAGGGAAGGAGGCTGACGTAGGCAAACAGCTTCTGTCGGAATTGAAGGCTCCGCTCGACAGCCATCTGTTCACGTATCCTCTAATCCGAATCACATCCAAGCCTCAGATTTGAACAAGTAATTCATGCTACACTCAACGGGGCGAGTCGCGAACTTGGCATACCGCTGAATCCTACCACTGAAGGGCAGCAACTACACGGTACCACCTCAGAGGATGCGGCAGGGAAAACGAACGCGGCCGCGAGAAATCGTGATGGTGTAAATGTGGTAGGTCCATGTCCTCCAGCATGTGACCGCACATCTTCCGAGGACTCCAAGACGAACAATGATAAGCCTCCACAGGGCCAATTGTCTAATTTATAATTATCCCTGTCGCGGTGCTGGGAGTGAGGCAGACCACCAGGAGCGCTATAATGTTAGAGATTCATAATTAGAGTTGAGTGGTTAGTTGAAAGTTGGATAGTAGAAAGCTATCCATGGAAAGCTATTGTAATTGTATGAAGTTCCAGGAGTAACGGTAGCAAGTCTTAGCTATCCTGGGAGTGAACTTACCAAGAACGCGCTCTCTACACTGCTGGAACTAGATGCGTGGCTCCAGCAGTGTAGAGAACATGATGCGACGCGAGTACTATAGTACCAACATTTGTGTAAAGTCTTAATTGATGATGAAGAACATGAAAACAGAAGTGATGTCACTACAACAGATGATGGAGATGAAGCGAAAACGCTGTAGGTCGAATTTCACCACTAAAATTACCTGCTATGTCAATGTAGTAGATCCGGACACATCGAGTTCAGGTAGATATTACTTTTCTTGGAGGTGGAATAAGTGCCGTCGGTGCAGTTAACGAAAGTCGTGCCAGCGAGTGCAGACGCGTTCTTTGGAGCCACTTCTGATATAATCTCTGCTCGGTATCTACTGCTGGCTGCCTCAGCTATCAAGCTCTCGGTTTCTATTAGATCGGTTTGAAGGAGGACTTGCGCATGATGATGATGCGCTCCTCCCAACTCGACACCCATGTCATCGATTCCCCGAGCAGCTCTAGTGAATCTAACGCCTCCCGATTTTTTTTCTGATGATATTGATACACGCTGCCTAGTAAGTACTATTATTGCACCTGATATTCTCAGAAGTTTGCTCTGCCATGATGCATGTACTCTCATATGTACAGACGGGAACTTGATTTCATGTTCAATGTGGATGCCGCTACTAGATCCGTTGTAATATTACTTAGCTGTAACTACGGATTTCGGACCGCGACATCAAGGCAGCCGATGGATGCCCTTGTCCGCGGGATAAATTTTATGTCCTGCTGCAAACCCGGCTACAGTAAGCCTAAGCTCGTTTGCTGTTTACGATGAATCGCTACAGCTTGTATTTGAATTTCATAAATGAACATCGATCTTTATGCAGCGTTTTCGAAACAATCGCGAACAGGAGAACGCAAACATGTCTTTCAACAAGTCGCCACCAATAGTGGCATCCGCTTGTCACCTCGAAGGACCCGCGCACAATATGTTTGCGCCGCTGCTCCCACCAGGCGAGCAAACTGGGTTTGGCCGAGAGCGTCCGGGGATCACACCTTCACGCTTGCTGAAGCCAGCGCAACTACAGCACCATCACTCACTTACTCCTGGAGTCAATGACCCAGAGGAGCAAGCATCGCTGCAATTAGAAGTAGATAGCATGCGATCTCAATCTTCGAAGAATATGGCGACCTTTGATTTGGAGGAGCAGGCTTCGCAGTGTCCGTCTGAGGGTGCCTTTACACTGGCTTGGCCTGAGTTTTTCATGCCTTCACGGCGAGAATCTATAGCGTCAGCGGCACCAAGCCAGTACCTACAGTCATCGCAGAACGTCGTGCTTGGGATTCACAAGGAATTGCTTACCCCGATGACGACCTTTGTTGATGACAGAACAACAAGTGCTGACGACGGAGGACGCGCGGTGAACAACAACAGATCACTTGCTGTTGCTAGTGGTACACCTTCTAGAAGTGCATCAGGATCAGCAACGGCTGCCTTAGGACGCATTTCCGCGATGTTACCACCAAAAAGCAGACCTACAAAGCTTAGAAGGATCGAGGCTCAGAATGATGGATGCCGCGCTCCTGAGGCTTCTAGTGCCGTCTCTACTCAGTCGCTACGTGGTAGTGCTTTCCGCAGTCCGCTGAAAAAGTTTAGTAATGCCGAAAATATGAATTGGGACCTTGGGAGAAAAGGTTCGACAGGCACCAGCTCCATTGGCAAAACGGCACCTCCTGCTACTGCAGCGTCCTCTAGCAGTACTACTTTAGGCCCGCTACAAGCGGACGATGTCGTACAGGAGGAAGTAGACCTGCTAGTAGTAGCAGCTAGCGCGACGAGGGATGTCGTACAGGAGGAAGTAGACCTGCTAGTAGTTCCCTGCCAAGACGCAGCAACAGAGCAGGACAACATAGTACCTGCCGATACATCTTCGCATTCGCAGCAGACCGATAAGCGCTTCAAGGATTTAGTTGGTGTGGACTTTCCAGAACGCGCTCTCCAGATGTCTTTAGACAAGCGGAAACTCTTGGGTGTGCTCGGCGAGTCAGACATCGCGGATCTACGTGACTGCATCGTAGAAGTAGTTGCCGACTTCGCGGCAGAAAGTGGCGCTCTAGTACGTGCGTTTCGGCCGGTTCCAGAGTCTACGTTCTCTCATATTGGGGACTCGGTTTTAGAATTGGCCGTGCGCTACTACGGAGCGGAGCTTGGCGCACTTCCAAGAGTCGTCCAGAGAGCGGCGGCCAATCTCGTTTCTCATTGGAATCTAGCTGGCGACTCAGGACGGTGCAATACAAGGGCAGAGAATCGTCTGACGTCGGAAGCGATTGAGGCGGACTTGGGGAGACTCGTGACTGGCAGAGAAGTCAAGCTACTGCGTAGAATACTCGAAAGATCGAGCGCGCAACCGACTGATATTGCTGGACGAGAATCCCGTGAAGATCAACAGTCTGAACCGAACGATGTTGCAGCCGCGCTGAAGACACTCTGTGAATCAGTATCGGGTATGGAAGTCCACTATTTGGAGCATCCCGGAAAGAGTCTGCGAGAGCGCATTCACAATGAGATTGCACTCGCGAGTGAATACTTCGGCGTACCACTAGGAACGTCGCTGGAACGGCAACAGGAGGGGGCGGGCCTGCCAGCATCGGGCGATGCAGTAGCTGTGATCGATGTACCCGAGAAGGTGCCCGCGAGGACATGCGATACGGGCGCTGATGGGTCAGCTGGAGCAGCAGGTATCCCAACATGTATCGCGAGCAACAGCAACAAGACCACTGTCGAAGCGAGAGCGTACGCAGGAGGAAAAGGTGGCCCAACTTATAGCAATGCAGCACCCGACCGTGACGACTCGTTGCAGCAGAGTAGAGGTAACTCACCACGAAAGAAGAAACAAGCAAAAAGTTCTACAAGTGGAAGGTCCGCACCGCTGCCAGCACCTTCGTCCCCCTCGTCCTCAGACGGAGGTGTTGTCTTGAAGGGACCAGGAGTGCATTTGAAAAAGAGGCCGCCCCTAATAGATGGTGATGAGGAGACTGATGCTGGAAGCCGGAGAGATGCTTCTGAGATTGCCGTGGGACAAGTCGAATTGAAGTCGAATGGAAGACCCCCTCTGCAAGAGACATGTGATAACCTGAACCTCGATTTCCACGAGGAATACATACCGGCTCGCGCGTGGATAGATGGAGGAAGACAGCAGGAGAATACTGAACGATGTCACAGCGCATGGAATGAACTCGAGTTCTGGCAAAAAGGGAACATTTGGTGGGTCATTTCACTGCTAAACGATCTTGCTGTCGCGAAAGGGATGCCTGGGAAGCAGATGATACCCTACGGTAAATACGTGTGCCAGGACTATGACTTTGTGTACGAGAACGACAAGGCCTACGTTGCGCTTGCAATAGGGAAGAAGAAACAGGTAGAACAAGACTGCGATCAAACAGCTGCATGGCGGTGGCTTCTAGATTTCGCGCAATACTGCGAGAAGGAGGTGGACGAGAAGAAGACCTCCACGAAGCAGCGTGATAATGGACGTGGTCCTTCACCGACAAAGTCAAAGTCAAACAAGCGCAACAAAAAGTCACCAGCTAAGATAAAGGTCGCGCAAAAGCGACTACAACAAGCCGAACAAGCCATTCAGTGTCAACCGCACAACACGACGAGCACATCAAATACCACTTCATCCAGTAGGCCGCATGATAAAGAGGACAAGAAGACAAATAAGCCAGGTTCTTCTTCTGCTGTACTGAAGCGGCGCGAAGAAATAGACAAAGAGAACTCTGTGCCATTTTTTTAGCCCCCTGACCAGCGCGGGTAGAAGTAACCACCTTGAGTTTTTCCTATTCTTATTTTTCCCATCTATCTTTTCAACTCTATGGAGGTGATTCTTCCTCCAGTCTCAGACTATCCAACAAGAACCTACACAGCGGCCTCACATGATGTCGAGTGGACCACCGATTTCACCGTGTTGAGTTTCTCTCGGAGCCGACGGACCTCAATCAGCAACAGAAAAGAAAGGATCGTTTGTTTCGAAGCATCGGTATTCCTAGAACTAGGTGATGAAATTGAGACCGCAAATCAAAAGATCTAAGTGACAAGAACCCCGAGCCCTACAACTAGAAATCCGCGTTCCTCTGTTATCTGTAGAGATGAACATTACTAACATAAAGACCACATCTATACTCCTTGCTTTTATTAAATTTCGCTTTCATCGTCCGTCAATAGTACGTGGCTGCACTGAAAAATAGAAGTAGTACACATCGTTCACATCTACATCCGTAGCCATTTTGGCTCAAGGCTGTTTATATTTTCCCCATTTATTTTACTGAGGTGTGCTGCAAATCTTGATTGGCTTCTTCCCTTTTTATAGGGTCGAGGTTTAGGCCCAGCGGCGCTCAAAGCACTAAATAAAGCAACCGGTTGGGTTAGTTTTTACCTCTAGCGCGTAGCCCTTCAAAGAAGGAAAACCGTTCACATCTACATCTTCTCCTTGGGAATGTTTTGGATTTTGTAGCATGTGGAACTGATTCGTCTTAGTAGGTGTAAGGAGCGCAATTCGGATCTTCATCATGGAAAGAGCGAAACGCGGAAGGAGTAATACATCCTCGCTTTTTGGACGCGAGGATAATTCTGTTCCTGGGGCTTTCACCCAGGCTTTTCATCCCTCGCAGTATCCGACACCAGTAGGTTCTCAATCGTATGCGAGGTCGAGCAGCTCGTCCGCGTCCTCGCAAATGCGCAATATGCAAGCTCAACAGCGAGGGGCACCCACTTCAGTTGATGCGGCCAGGCGAGTTGGGCGTCCTCAACCTCCGGGTGCAACCTCATCGAGCTCCGATGCGCTTTCACGACGTGACGCTCATCGCATAGCTCTCCCCCAGCACCGGATAGAAAATCATGCTGCACGGGCTAGTAGTAACTATTATAGACCCGCAGGTGCTGTTTCTTCAGGGCCTCCGATGAAACGGAGGCGAGAAGTTCTGGGCGATGATGATGATATTCTCGACACGAGTTCTGAGGAGTCTCAAGAAAGCCACCAGGACGTCGCTGAAGACGCCAGATACAGAAACCAGCAATATGCCCCAACTTCCACTGGTGATGCGATCTACGGAAGATTCAATGCGAGGACGCCCACGGCTGCTCGCCCAGCCGCAGCCTCATCTTCTAGGACTTGGCAAGGAGGTAATCTCCAGGCCTCCACCTCCCATCGTCGTGGTGAAATCCACGTCACAAGCAATCATACTACAAGAACTGGTGGCTGTACTAGTACAAAAATAAAGAGACCACGCTGTAGTACAATTACTCATGTGTCAACCTACCACGAGCAGTTGTACGAGATTACAAGACGAGACGACGATTATGATGATGTTGGTCGTCGAGTAGTGGAGGAGAACCAGGGATGCCAGCTCGTCCCACAGGAGACGCTGGAGGAAATCGGTCTACTAGAGTTTCCTGAGGAGGCGCTTCGGGAATCTCTAAAGGAGCAAGGGCACCCGGACATGCCCAACGTCGACGTGGCACTATTTCGCAATACCTGCGTTCATTTGCTAACCCATCTAGTAGCAAATGGCGCCTACCTACCGAGGAATGCTTTCAGCGATGCGTCTTCGGATGCTCACATCGGCGACGTCCTCCTTACTCTTGTCGTCCGTCTTGTTGCCAGGAACCTTGGTGCGACACCGCAAATCGCCGAATTAACGTCGCAGCGACTTGTGTTTCTCACTACGCACTTGCTGGTGACACCGGCAGACATAACTCCAGGATCAAAAACCGTGAGAGGTCAGAAGCGGTTGAGGCACATCTCGGCAAGCTTGCGCTTGAATCCAATCCTCGGTTAGGAGAAGCTGTTGAGACCATCAACTACTTAGATAATTGGATCGGAAAACGTGCATCGTTTTGCGCATCCTGGTGTTCCACTTCGCGACCGGATCCGCATCGTCACCCAGAACGTGGCTGCCGAAAGAGGAACTCCATTGTATCCGCCAGGCAAGCAAAATGGAAACGCAGCAGGCAACGCACAGGCATCCGGCAGAGCTGGAGCTGTCTCGCGGCGACCGACAACAGCTAGGCAGGACGCTGGGAAGGGAACCGTGGTGCTAACGAGGCCAACGACGACCCGTTCTCGGCGGGATTGGCAGTCGCAGAATGAAGTAGAACACCGAGCAGATTCTAGTACGGGCGAAGGAAAGGTAATTCTCCGCAGACGCGGCGACCAGACATCAACCGGCGTCAATCTGAAGCCAAATGACAGACCGCCTCTTAACACGGCGCTGAGCAAACTTTGCATGGATTTCAAGAACGAGTACGTCCCTGCGATGGATTGGATACAGAAGGTGAAGACAGGCGACCCGGAGCGTGCAAACTATGATTCGCTGCCGCGTCGTCTCCAGAGGCGCATTCAGTGGATTATCGATGAGTTCAACGATGACCAAGAGGACAATGGCATGCGTGGCAAGAAGCTCTTGTCACACGGAGGCGATGAGTACCAGCTGTACGAGTACGAGTGGCTCTACAACAACAAACCAGATTTCGTCGAGCGCGCACTGCAGGACAAGCGAGCAGAAAATTGCAACGGTCTTTTGTGGCTACTTGATTTTGCGAACTATTGCGAAGAAATGATAATGTTGGAGCAGAAAGAGGAACTACAGGCCCACGAAACTTGGAATTCAACGGAAGAAAGTGGAACCGAACATGTCTCCGATTCCGACGGGAATCGCACGGGAAATTGTAACCAATTATATTCCGCCGCAGCTCGACATAATGGCTATGTATAAGGATTCTTATGATGGTTACAACTAGTACAACTATGTAAGTATACTAAAGTAAAAGTTGTAAGTCGCGGCTTGCTCGACGACGACTTGGCAAGTACATGAAAATCATAACTTCCAGTGTTACAGGGACTCATTCGAACTTGATGATGTAGAAGATTTGAATCTGAAAGTTGAAGAAGATAAAAGAGAAAAAATATATAATGACCATATTCATCACATATCCATATTTATGACCATAGAGCTTTTGCACATCTTTCTGTATCTTCAGTAAATCCTAAACAACGTGATTTTTTGGGAAAGCGATTTCTTTCTGGTATTTCCATGCAGAACTGAACAAGATACCACGAAGGACCTAGACGAGCCACACGCTTGATACGCCATGCTGTCAAATAAAAAGTGTGTCGTTGTCCTCAAGCATTTTCGGTCCCCCAGTATTAATAATGCCATGACCTCTGTTGAGTCCTCTCCCTCTGCCAGATCATCGTTTACCACGTCGGTTATCGTCGCGTTGATGTAATTGTAGTTTACTACGTCGGTTATCTTCGGGTTCTTTGTCATGTTGACAGCAGTTAACATCGGAATCATTTGAGGTTTTTGATGTCGTACTAATGCATCTCGAGTCCATCGGTAAGCATTGTAAGATACAACGACGTCGTTTGATTGATTCTCAGTAGATCGGTGATGTGTGAGTATGGATACAAGCACCGCCCTTTCCTGACCTATGGCCCCTTTATTTGTTTTCACTCGAGACACAACAGCTTACATGACGTAGTTGATCATGAGACATCCACATTACCATGCGCTCTTATGATTTGACCTCCAGGCCAAGTTAGAGATAAATTATGATGTTATTTTTTCGCAGGACTAGAGAAACAACGCACCATTTTTAAACGGTCACGCAGCACATCTTGAACTTGATCTTATATTAATCTTCACAGTAACTACACTTGTAACAACGAACTACAACTATCTTCCTCAAGAAGATGTCACTCCTTATCTTCCGTGCTTCGGGCGATGTGATGCGTGTGCCAGTTCCGGCCACGTATCTCAACCGCGAGTTGGTACCTGGATCGCCGACAAGTGCGCCGGCAAGTCCTGCTAGCTCACCCGCAAGCCCGAATGCGGGAGTTGCGACAAGTGGACCGAGTAGTCCTCTAGCACAAGCACATGAGCAAGCCTCTGGTGCGAGCGGCACCACGACTGAAACAACAGGCCAAGTAGTAGAACAAGATGATCACCACGCGGTAACAGGATTAAGCAGCTCAAGCTCAGCCAGCAGTTCATCAAAAGCTGGTGCCGCTGGTAACGACGTCGCCGTAGCTGACTACAATGCGAAGACGAATGATCAAGTCAACAATAATGAAAAACAAAAAGCTGGATCAATCTCAACCTCGGGTCAGAAAAGCGTTGATCATGATACTGGCAACAACAAACAGGCCGCTCAAAAGAAATTGAATAAGGACAAGGGTGGACCATCTCCTCGTGCGTCTTCATCTTCTCCCACAAAGGGTTTAGGGTTCGCGACTTCTTCTCCGAGTGCTCGAAAGAAAACTTCCACGAGCCAGATTCGAGCATCCTCTTCTTCCAGAGCAGAGGGGACGTCATCGTCAAGACGGAATCAGGGGAATCTGTCATCTCCTTCCTCAAGAGATACTTCGTCAAGACGGGATCGCGAACAAATCGAGTCGGATTCCTGGATGCAAAGGCAGCTGTCGCGATCACTGCTGCACCGAACCCAGCGAGCATTTGTGGAGAACTACTGGTCCAGATTTGATCATAGTAAGAGCGACACTGACGGGGAAAATAATTTGAAGCGACTGCCGGGAATGCTGTCGTCGAGATTCAATACAACAGCTGGTAATAAAGCAGTAGATGTCGATTCACAAGTTGTCACGGGAGGTCTAGGAGGAGCACCTACAAGTAGTTTGTTAGGTAGTGAAGTGCAGGTGCAAGATGTTGATGATGGCACTGCCTCTCGTGACCAGCATGTAGAAGACGTGGACTCATCGAGAGCGCCAGGTCGTGCCGGTGGCCCACGTCGGCTTTTAGTAGAGCAGAAACAACGTGAAGCAACTAGCGATCCTGAGTTGGACGTAAGAGCAGGTGGAAGGAGTGGACCGCAACAGGTAGAGTTCATCAACGAGCTAAATCTGAGGTACAACACGCGCTTGTACAACAATCCCGCAAACATTGCGGGGATCAGCAAAGAACGAATGCGAGAAATTACACTCCTACAACGCAGCGCGAACGGATCGGCTTCGAGTTCTGGAACCGAAGACCATGACGTTGGGACAGGGACTGGCACGGATAAAGAAAAAGAAACTTCCAGTACCACCTTAAACAAGATGAAGAAGGACAAAGAAGGCACTGGCGTGGTTAGCGAAGACTTGCAAGAAGTAGAAGGGCAACGGCAAGAAGCTAGTAGTAGTGCGTCTTCAAAAAAGAAATCCTTCGCAGTCATATCCTCTTCGAATGCTTCAGGGTCGAGCAGTGTGCACTCCACTCCACGTGGTATCTTGGATGGTGCTCCTGGAATCGATGGACCTCCGCAATTGGTAGGTACCGGCGCTGGGCCTGGACCGCTAGTAGTTCTTGGAGGCAATAATGAAAATCTGTTGGTGCAAAGATTTGGACAGAACCGTGGTGGTCATCTTGAGACAGATCAGGAAGAGCAAGATGTTGATGTCGATCATGAGATAGCTGTTGCAGACGATGCTCGTCGAGCAGCAGGTGCAGCAGGTTTGATAGAGCAGGCTTTACCACCAAGAATCCCACCTCCTGCAGCAGGCGCACCTCTAAATCTTGGAAATAATCAAGTAGATTATGGTGGAATCATTGTGAATGCTGCAACAGGACAAGCAGCAGGGCCGTTTGGAATCCACCGCACCGGTGGACCGGAAGCACCCGGGAGTTCCCCATCGCATCATCTCAAGAGGGATGACGATGAGGACCAACTACACCGACGCAAGCATTCTACAGAAGCGATTTCGATGCCATGGTCAACGAAATTGGATGAAGACGACGACTTTCCACCTACAAACCCTGGTGGTGGCTCTAGTAGTAGTACACAGATTCCTGGATCTTCACCGACAGGAGGCTCCGCCGCGTCACCGATTGTTGGTGACGCCCGACCCGCACCAGCCGATGCAGCCGCGACTGCAGATGTTGATTGGGAAGCTGGTGGATTCCCGTTTCAACCTACACAACGGGCTAGCACTCTGCCAGAACATGATGGACCTCTACAACTACCGCATGGAACAACTCCCGATGTTGAACTTGGACAAGAGAATGGAGGGAGGTCTGTGGCGAACTACAAGAATGTTGACCACTCTGAATTCACTACAGCACGCGGTGCTGGTGCACACGCGGCAAAGGCTGTTCAGTGGGGTGACGAGGTGGATTGTATTGGTGATTTTGGTCAACAGCAGGGTGCGGCAGGCTACGTTGATAATCCCTATGACGAGGCGCATTTCGAGGAGTCAACGTTTCCAGATGCTAATGAGTGCACTCTGACAGTAAGAGAAGCACGCTTCCTAGTGGCGCAGGCACTCTCGCATTTTGACGGACGGAAAGTGCCTGTGAATCTGTGCTATCTCATCGACATGGACAGCGACGAGGGACATGTGATGACGGATCAAGAGCTTATTAGGGACTACAATTTCACGGCACTGCTGGTGATCCAGACGAAAGACTATCTGCAGGTACCTATGAATTATAATCACTCATTTACATTTTCTACAGGAGAAATAGACCGACACTGACGCACGAGTTTCTACACCTACAACTGGGGTTTTCGTGATAGATTTACCTCTTCTTTTTTTCAAGTAGTCGTGCGTCCATGTGAGGATTGATTATGATATGGAGTCAAAAACTGTATTCATATTCAAAAACTTGAAAAAGAAACTTTTCGCCATGACGCTGGCAGACTGCAGACAAAGCATCATAAGGAGCCAGCAGCAGAAATTAGCCGAAGGTGGGAACTGTGGCAGAAGGCAAGAACCCAGAGGAAGCGGCGAAGCCCAGAGGGCCGCTCCTTGCGAGTCTGCCGAAGCCAGCGCCCGACCTCTACGACTGCGCGAAGCCAGCGCCCTAAACCCTAAACCCTTTTTTTCAAGTAGTCGTCCATGTGATGATTGATTATGATTTCCAACTCACTTACAACTTTGAGCACCACATCAACCACGACAACAGGACGGCAAATACGAGTCTCTTGCCGCAGCTTTGCTGCATGAGGAGGATCTTGAGACCAGCTATGAGATCGTCTACCAAATGAGCGAGGAAGAGCTGAACCAGTACACGACATTTGACAAGGACGTGCAGACACACATCTTGTATGACGTGACTCGAAATACGAAAACGCCCCTTGCCAAAACGTATCAAGCGTTGGCGATAGTTGATAGTGGGAGGTTTCGATATCCTCCTTGTGATTTGACCCATGGGCGAGATGGATACTATGACAACATTCTAGTGGCTATTATTCGGGTCTTAGGCTGGAGTCAGCCGACGGGAGCACTCGGAGATCGTTTGGTGCGGATTGGTACTTTTTTTCATCGAACAAGATTTCAGAGAGGATTCCTTTTTTCTGAGACGGGCTTACAACTTACTGTTCAGTTGTCCGTCGTAGATATAAAATCATTCTCATTATTTTTTACATGATCCTTGATCCTTCTACTTGGCGCAAGAAACGACAAAAACTCACTACAACAACACTACAGCCCGCCTGATCCTGGACTCACCGTACACGAATAAGCAAGACTTGCTTGTGAACAAGCTGTCCGATGTGAACGAGACAGCGCTGATGCTTGCGGTCCGATGTAGGAATTTCGCACTTTTCAAGCTGATCCTTGAATTCGCCATGCGGCATGACTGCGCTTCAGAGCTTGTGTCCATCCGCGAGTCCATTGGAGGCCACGAGACAGCGTTTCTGTTCGCAGCCAAAGAGGGGTGTCCGGACATCTTCCAGTTCATGCTCAAGAATGCTAAGCGGTTCAGCATTGACATCAACCAGAAAAGCGAATACGGACTTTCCGCGTTTTTGTTTGCCGCGAGTAACAACCAGGTGGATATCTGCAAGATGCTGATGGAGGAGCCGGGTTTTACAGGGGTGAACGACAAGTGCCGTGACGGATGCAACGCGTTCTTGTATGCTTGTTCGCACTACGGGTCACTGCAGATGTGCAGGCTGTTGCTAGAGGGAAAAGTAAGAGTCCCAGCACCTCCGATCGTGCAAAAAGCAGAACAAGGTGGTCCGGCAACCGCGACGAGTCCGACGAGTGAACCTGGTCGTGGAGCAGAGGGAACAACAGGCGTTCTCGGACTCGGAGGTGGTAATAGAGGAACAAACACTCGAACTAGCACCAATGGTCTAGACCTGGTCGCGGATCTAGCGAATGCTATGGGTGCTACTACAGGAGGTAATGCAACGAGAGGCGTGGTAGCAGACACTATCTTCGAACAAGTTCCAACTGGTGCGACTGCTGCAGCTGCAACAAGAAATCTCCATGAAGGAGCGCCGGCGCCACGACCTCCAGGGATGCATGGCGACGTTGAAGCACAACATGTAGACTCTACAACTGGACAAGAGGGAGCATTGCATAATGGTTCGACATCATCGTCTGCTACTCCATCCTCTCAAGATCTTGTTGGAGCTACAAGCACAGCTCGACGACCTCCTTCGATTGACCCAACCACCTCCACTGAGCCGTCAGATTTCTCAAAGTTGAAAAACACAGATGAGAGACTTCTACCAGATGATGTGGAAGCTAGCCGTGAACTCAGTGGAGTTAGTGCTGAGCACCAGAACAAGCAGAAGCAAGTTCTTCCCCTTCCGATTCCCCCAGAGCATGAAGATTCTGACATTGAATCGAAGAAGAGTGGGAGTTCTGGGAAGCAGACTTCTGGGAGTTCCGCTTCATGCAGTGGCGACCACCCCACAATGCCAGGTATAGAATTGCCGCTTGAAGATCCAACTTTCTCCGCCTTCGCGACGCCAACTCGGGCACCCAGAACAATGGGTGGTGCGGGTGGTCGAGTGAACAATATAGGTGGAGGTGGTCTTCTTGTTCTTGCTGGTCCATCTGCTCCTGAAGTAGAGGTGATCAAATTGAGTAGCAAGAACACAGAAGCAGGAGGTGCAGCACCTCCAGGTTTGATAGGAAGTGATGGCGTAGCAGCTATGTCTTCTACGTCTAGTGAGACCGTGGACTTGCCAGACGACGTGAACGCAGACCCTCCGCCACCTTTTATGAGTGAAGAACAGGTCGCATTTGAGGACGATGCGGAGTTTGAATACAGTCCTGATCTGGAGGATCTTCAGTTCTATGCAGCAACGATGGGAATCGCGCCAGCAGATAGGGGAAATCAGGCTCTCCTCGACGATGCAGATGCTATAGTCCATGGCAGAGCAGCGGGAAGGAGGGCAATGGCGAGGGCTCAAGCTGCTGGTGCAGCTCATCAACGAAGAGGTATAGATACAACTGGTGCTGGCGCTGAGAATGTTGAGATGAATGAAGGGAATGGAAATGTTACAACGACAACTTCTACAGCCGTGCCTGTTGTAACCGGTCGTGCTGCTCCACCTCCTCCTGCAGAAATAGATGAGCCGAATGCAGCCATGAACCAATTAGACTACGACGTTGACGATGAAGTTGGTGCGACTCCTGTGGCACTGCAAGGGTCGTTTGCTCCATTTCGCGGTTTTCCAGATGAGCGTGATCTCAGAGCGAGACGAGAACGTGCGCAAGAACGGCTAGTTCGTGCACTTGGACAACAGCAAGATGGGGGAGCAGGAGGACCACAAGTAGGAGCTCCACCAGATGAAGGTGGCGTTGACAATCACGCTGATGCTCTTGGCACGACCGCAGCACCTGGAGGCCCTGCTCAACAAGCACCTGTGCCTATGGAACTCCTTCATGACGACGGGCACGGGAACAGTAGTGCCTGTCCCGACGTTGGACAAGGAGAGCGCGATAGGTCAGGAGAGTCTATGGAGGCGCCAATGGGTTCTGGTTTACGTATTCGAGAACAAGCTGCAGCGGGGGGCTCTGCCTCCTCTGGGAGCGAACCTTCTGCTGGCGTAGCCATGCGACACCACGACGTCAGAGAGGCAATGATGCTTGCTGATCTAGAAGAAATGCGGAACCACAATAGAAATGCGAATGGAGCAGTACCTTCAGGAGGCGTAGCAAGTACTCCTCCACCCCATCCAATCGGTGCTGCGCCGCCTCCAGCAGGCGCTGAAGGTTTAGTGCTGGGTGGAGGGTCATCAGACTTGATGCTCAGTACGTATCGAACACCAGAGGCTAATTTCCGAGAAGCAAGGTGGCGTAAGAGGCAGATGTGGGACTACGAGCGTGGTGAATACGCGGGTTTGGATCATGCAGGTTCTCGTGCACCTCCTATGGAAGATGTTGAGCCATCCTCTTCTAGTAGTGCGACGAGGCCATCTCCTCCAGAGACGCGTCCGAGTCATCAAGCTTGGTCACCAGCTGACGTGTCTGGGGTACCCACTAGTACGAACCCTACTTCTGTTAATACCGGAGATGGAGGAGCCTCGTCATCTTCTTCCACTGCACCCCCACAAGGACAGCAACAAACAGAAGAACCCCTACCTCCTCAGCCTATAGTACTACAACAACAAACAGTATTAGAGCGTGAGCGTCTACTACCTCCACCCTCTAGGACTACTTCTGCAGGAGCAAGGGATACGACAACGCAATGGCTTGACGGCGTTCCAATAGCGCAACATGGAGGAAGTCCAGTAAGAAGGGCCGTCGCTGAACAAAATGCAGCTGCGGCGAAAGAAGAAGCTGAGAGAGTCTTAGGTGGAGATGTCAACTCGAACTATCCAGAGACCATAACGAGTAGTGCTGGTGAGGAGGTCGCTGCACCAGAACAAGAGGCTGCAGCGGCCGTACCGACAGCGACTCGTCAACAAGATCCTCCTGGTGCAGCTCCGGCAGCTGCAACTGCGTCAATAACGTCTTCACCACTTGCTGGCGTTGCTGGAGGAGCTCCTACCACAAGCAGTTCTGGAGAAGAGAATTTGTCAGAAGTCAGTATGCAGGGATTGCCAATGGCAACAGCGAACGCTCACAACAACTTTGCGCGTCTCGCACGACCGTTTCTTCACGGTGGCCCTGCGCTAGACGCAGAGGATGAGCGACCTGATGTGGTCCCGCCACGGCCTGGGCAGGGAGTAGCAGAAGTGCAGACACATGATGTTGGTGAAGAAGCTGCTGCGGGTCCTCTTCTTGATAATGCGGCTGATGCACAGATGAACAATCAAGAGAACATCAATGTAGTCGCTGCGGCTGTCGATGTTCCCATTGTCGTTGGAGGAGCTCGTGCGGCTAACCGTGCCCGTAACGCTGAGGACAATCTTGATATCATGATGAACAACTTTCTACGAAATCGCGGCGCTGGTCGCGCAGGGATTAACAATCTTAACGGAAGGAATGGGAACAACAACAACAACCAGGATGAAGGACTCCAGCAGCGGCGTTACAAAGTTGTTAGGTGTAACTTTGTGAACAAGTTCACAGGATTCGAAGCCGTTGACCAAGACGGGAGGAACGGATTTTTACGAGCTATTCGATCCGGGTATGGCGGTGCGACGCGGAAATTGTTACAGTACTTGATCAAGCACAGTGACAAGTTCGGTCCCGGGTTCCTGGATGCTTGCGACAAGGATGGAAATAACAGTTTTCATCAGGCCATTTACCGTTGCTCGATCGAAACAGTGGAGTTGCTCCTTCATCACAAGCACAAATTCAAGAAGGGCTTCATCAGTGTGAAGAACAAGGCAGGCAACAACGCGCTTCTGTTGGCAGCAAGCTTCAGTGAGCCGATAACGCGAATGCTACTGGAGGAAGAGGAGTTTCAATTTATTGATTCATCAAAGGGGAAGATGACTTCTAGTTCTAGTTCTTCTAGTACAACAACAACAGGTACAACAGGAGCATCACGATCTTCAGTGGAGCAGGAGAAAAGCTCATCGTCGTCGAGTTCGTCAAAGCCTTCTCCTGATCTTCAAGCAAGTACACGTACTACAACTTGCGTTGCCAATGAAGTGAACAAAGAGGGCGTGAATGCATTTCTAAGGGCGGCTTCCATGGGACGACTGGACATTTGCCGCTTACTCTATAACCATCGCGCCTTTCAGAAAGAGGGCATCAACGAGGTCGATCGTCACGGAAACAACGCACTTTTGCTCGCTGCGGGCTATGGGAACATTGGAATTTGCAACTTTCTGTTGAATGGTGAAGCACGAGATGTATTCACCGGGAGCATCAATTGCACGAACAAGCGTGGGGACACGATGCTTATCGTGGCAGCAGAGAACGGGTATGCTGAATTTTGCCGCAGCCTAAGTGCGGATCCGAGATTTGGAATGCATTTCCATCAAAACAACGACGGCCAAACGGCGCTTCTCGCGGCAGCCAAGCGCGGCTACGTCGGCGTGTGCGACTTCTTCGTGTCGAGTGACAAGTATAGACTGGAATTAGAAATCGCGGACCGCTTCGGGAATAATGCCTTTCTCTACGCAGCTGCGAGCTTTCGCTTCGCTGAGGACTTGGAGCGGGTATTTTTTAACATAGTAGATCCACGAAATAACGGCGGGATGAATGATCACGACATTCTCCGAGGAGATAATGATAACATCAACAATCGTGGTGGATTAGCAGGTGTTGTAGGTGCTGCTGATCTGGACGGAATGAATAGAGGCGGCGGTGGTTCGAACCCCAACTTTCTTGCATCTGTTGCTCATGTCCACCACCCTAAAGTAAAAGTGCAAAGCGAGCACTTGCAAGATCCGTCGTTAAAATTCAACCTGTCATTCTATCAAGCGGTGAACCACGAAGGTCGGAATGCCTTACATCTTGGCGCAGCCGACGGCGCCTTGCACATTTGCCGCTTCCTACTGAGAAAAGCGGCTATTTTAGGCCTTTCTAAGGGAACGCGCGATGGACACGGCAACACTCCTTACATGCTTCTCAAGGAGATGATGATCAAAAATCGATGGGACAAAAACGCTCTGTACGTCGATTTTCTGCGTGAATTGGCTACAAGTACTGACGAGGACGACCTCTTAGACGGAGGCTTAGCATCCTCAGCGTCGTCAGCTTCTTCAGCTTCAGGGTCGTCGTCCCAAGATCCGCTGGGTACCAGAGCAGCAGGGGTCGAGGCGCTGTTCACAACAGGAGAAAGAGGACAAGGTCGCGACGCTGGAGTGGACACATACGAGGGGATGGGTGAACTCTAGTTTTCTACTTGCATTTTACTTCAAGACAAAACAATTAATCTTGCACAAAGTTCAGTGCAGACTGCCTTAAGGATTAACTTCATTGATTACTTTTTCGATCATTAGAAGGAGGTTTAGGACCTGCTGTTGAGGTTTATTCGGAAATCACAAGTACTTATTTATCCAATCGTAACCGTTTTTCTTTCATAACTTTTTCAACTACCATGACAAACAATCAGTTCCAGTATTAAGTCCAAATTTACGATCATGTTGGTCTCCATGAATAGCATGGAAGACCCCAACACGATGAACACTTCCAGAAATCTGAGTACCCCAATGTTGAACTCGAAGATAGTACTAGTAGAACTGCCACAAGTACAATTATGATGTTGTCCTCGTCGTGTGGTAACAAATATCACTATAGCAAAATTATCGGCATTATCTTAGCTTGAACTGGTAGCTCCTCCATGCTCTTCAGAAGATAAGCACTTTTTCTTGCAGCTCCGAAGATCATCTAAATTTGAGAGCTCGTTTTGTATCTGGTTGATCACATTTTAATAAAACGACCTGTGTTGCATAGTGGTTGTAGATTGACATTCTCCGCTCGTCCCCCATTCCATTGTAACTTTTGTTTTGACCATGTCATTGAAAATTTTGATATATTCATTGTTCTTGCAAGTCTACAACTCAGCGACCGCAATCAAGTACTAGTAGGTATGTTGTTTGATGAACAGGTAATTGCACAGATTTTGTTCCGATCATTTTAATATTTAGATAGCTCATGTTTTGCACAGCGGGAAAATCATTCTAGAAAAATCTTCGGACGGTGGTGATCAGAATTCCCGTCTAGTGGAAGCAGGAGCAGCTGGCTATCGTGGATGGAGGAATTATGCCGAGTTGCCGTACAGATTACACAGAGTAGTTTTCTTACATGATAACATGCTGCCCATAAGATACGATACATCTTCAACGTGCTGTTTGAATTTCAAAAGGAAAGGTGTAGAAACGTAGCATGAAGAACAACGAACAACCTCGCAGGACTGGAAGACTCCCACATTTTCACCCTAACCCCTCTCCATTGAAGGTGAATCTCTTGAACAAACTGTCATCGCGGTTCGTGTATGCTAGAGCTCACCCAACTACAACAGCAAATTGATAACTATGCCCTCTGATTGGAGAATGACTTTTGTTCTTCACGATCGCCCTTGGGATCAACTCTGTCGTTACTCGTGGCACCACAGGCTCGGATGCAGGGAATACAACGCAAGAGTCCCTAGGCTCTGACTCTGAGGTCTTGTTGAGGCTACCACTGATCTGGTGAAATAAACAAAAAACGAGACTCAGTAGGTTGTGTAGAAGCATAAGAAGTAGGACAATCAATCAGGACCGAGAGCGGACACCATGAAAATACTCGAGTACATGTACATACCCCCTTTGAGCCCCACATACTGCACGAACAAGGCTGGTGCTCGAATAAGAAGTCGATGTCACAAATTTCGGTTTTCTGCGGGGCTGAGAGAAAACCACCTCGCCCCTTTTCCCTTTATTTGTGTTTTTGACGTAGTAGAACCCACTTCTGTCATCATCTTTTCGTTTTCTGGTTTTGATTTTTTAATAGTTACGAACAAGCACAATTTTCTTTAACATCCTCATCCACGACTGCAACAAGCCTACTTGATGTTAAAACCGCATATTTATCCTCGAATGCACAGTCATGTAACTAGCGATAGGATGAAAGTGATGAGTTGCTTCAACATGCTTGTTTGCTGAGACCACAAGGAGCACGATGGCCTATTCGCAAAGAATGGTCGTAACTCCATGAATGTAAGCGCCATGTTGCTGCTCGTGCTTGCATTATTCACACTTTCGACTTCATCATCTGCGTATTTTCATTCCAATCTACGTCGCTGTGGTTGCAGCTGAAAAAACCATAAGCGCGACCGCACTCGAGCCAAAAGCCAACAGCGACCACGACTAAAGCATTTGATCGAGCCTCCAGACCCCTGTCGTGTTTCAGTAGCCACTGAAGTCTGCTGGTTTTTTATATCTAGTGGAGGACCCACGACACCTAAACTGGCTTCTCAGATAGCACATTGCAGCATAGAGCTTGCGCCCTTCTCGTCTCAACAGCTGGATCCCTAACCTAACCTAAGCGACCACGACTACAGCATTTGATCGAGCCTCCAGACCCCTGAACAAGACATCAAAATGGCTTGGTGTATTTTCGCTTTATTCGACAGGCGTGCTTTTCGGCTAGCCTGCATCGGCGTTTTCTCTCTGGATGTTTTCATACAATTCGTCTGTACCATTGCCGTGAAGCAGAAATTTGGCTTCGACTTCCATGAGGGTGCCGCGGATCTGCTGTCCCTGGTCGTTCTGCGTGCGGCCTTGGCAGCTTCGATTACTTTTGTGGTCTTCAAATGGTGGCACCAGATCATGCGTAATGCCAGGCGGCACATAGAAGAGTTATGCAGCTGGTGGTCGGCTTTTATCCATCTTCACAATCTATCTCTGCATCTTCTACAACTTGCTGCTTTTATTATCAACACTGACCCGTTATTTTCATGGACGAAAACAAGACCAAGAATATTAAAGGCACCAAGAAGATGCGGGGACCAACATCCCACGAGATGTTGGATTCATCTGGTCGACTCTAATAGAAGACGCCGAGCCTACTGAAAGGGAACTCGATGATGTCCTCTGCATGCCAGCGCCTCCTTTGTCTAGTGGGCTTCCATACGTTGAAATGGATGGCGCCACTACTAGTACAGGATCATCGTCTTCATCAAGTAGCACCTCAGTTTCAGACAGTAACAAGACACCACTGTTAGACCACGGTGTTGACAGTGAGTCCCATCAGAGGGCTGTACTGCAACAACAACAAGAGTCAACCAAACAGTCCAAAGCAGAGGAGCTAGACGATTTCTTGTCGACTTGTGAAACCGCAGCCGTTGATCAACTTGGGGAGAAAAGTGCGAGTGCGGGTGTCGACAGGAAAAAACTTTACATTGAGGACGTAAATCGTGCGGATCTGCGCAAAAACGTGCTTGTCTACGTCCTCTTCGCGATTTGCTTCTTCATGTCCGTTTACACAGGAGTAAAAACGGTCGTCTTCGAGCCGACCTACAACGGTTCGATGCTGATTGGGTATTTGTTGTTAAGACAAAGCAAGGCATCAAATATGATGAAGCGTTTATTCGCTATCAGATGACGCTCTCACGGGTGGTGCGCTTTGCGAACAGCGTATAGACCCTCTATACGAGGCACCAGAATTCTTTTTCATCCAGGATTCCTCATCTTGACACCTCTAACATCCGGTTCCGGCGTGATGCTGATTAACATCGAGTTTTTCCTTCTGCGAGACTTCATCGATGATCTCACGAAAGAAGAAGGCGAGATGGTGAAGTCGTTACATCCGCATCCGCTTTTCTTCGCTGTAGACTTGCGTTGTCATGGATGCGATGTCTGCCACGAGCCTACGCAGAAACCTTACTTCGAGGCGTACAGATGCAGGACGTGCGACTTCGATCTTTGCCCTAGATGTTACAAAAAGAAGGACAATGCGAATTTTAAAGGTGCTATGACTTTGCGTTTATCATGAGCATTCGATCGTCAGCCGATGAAGACACTTCTAACATACACAAGCACATTATAGTTATTCCTCGGATCTTCGCGACGAAGACGTTGCTGAAGACACCAGCAGTCAACTTCTAGTACATAATGTCTAAATAAAAAAATCAAACTTATCGATCCATGAAACAATCACTAATATCATTTAACACCAGGTGTAGCCTTCCGCAGCGATAAAAGCGGTGAAAACGCGGATTCTTTGACAACGAGCGGGTATTTTCGCAAATGCATAGAAATGAGTATGGAATGCTGGCAAACGCTGGCAATGGCTACCGGATCGCTGGTCGTGTGTCAAATCTTGACCTTGATGGCGCCGAATCTGCAAGGTCAAATTTTTGATGCTATCATAGGAAAAGCAGTCACCACGGATAGGCATCTAGATCTCGCAGCTCTGGGAGAAATGCTGGACCCGATTGAGCTCTTCGTAACACCTGTGATCGAGGTGATGCACCATGTTGGAGTTTCTGCTTTTGGTCAAGAACATGGTCTACTGGGTGTTGGTCAACATCAAGATGAACAAGAACTTGGCGGTACGGGTAGCAGTGCCATTCCAATTGCAGGTGTTCCTACTGCAGCAATCACCCCACCGCCGCCTGGTCCTGTTCACCCAGATGTAGAGCGTTTTCGACGTGTCATGCGCTGGTATGTTGTTGTGAATGTGTTGTCGGGTCTCTTCAGCGGTCTCCGATCCTTGGGGATCGAACTGGCCATGCGATCTTTGGCAGCCATTACGCGAAGGCGGGTCTTTCATTCGTTGGTGCAGATCGATATCGCACATTTTGATGCGCTGCATACGGGACAACTGACTTATGGGTATAGGGAATTCATCTCCAAAGTCATCTGGAAGAACAAGATAAGGGGAAAAAGGCACTCGGATGATCCCTGCGATGAATTTGCTAATTAACGTCGCGCTTGACGAACGATGTGAGTGCGATGGTTTCGCCACTCAGCACGATCATGAATGATCTGGTACTAAAAAGGCAGCTAGTACCTCTTTTGCAGCTGTCGTCCTCTTCTAGAAACGTAGTTGTTTTGATGTTCTCAACAAAGAAACACAGCATCGAAGGCAGGAATCTGTCCTCTCCACTCTTTTCCCAACAAGTAGTCATCATCTTCCTTCATTCTTATTCCCAGGTTTCCAACTCCATCCTTCTCGTTGGTGGTGTCTTCATGGCTTTCCTGACATCTTGGAAGCTCTCGGTTCTGGGAATTTGCGTTGTCCCTCCGATTTCCTTCATTTACAGACGTTACAGTCGTTGGGCAAAGGGCATCAACCGTGGCATTTGGCAAGCCTATGGCGATACCAACGCCGTCGCAACCGAAGCTATCTCGAACATCCGCACTGTGCGAGCTTTTGCGGCAGAAGACTACGAGATCGGCCGCTTTGAACAAGGCGTCAGCGTGGCTCTGGACTACGGCACCAAGAATGCGTATGTTGGTGCGTCTGTGCAGGCGTTCTCGAGTTACATGAACTTGCTGACTGCGATATTGATCTTGTGGTACGGTGGAAACGCCGTAATTGCCCAGGATGGAAGCTTGACGATCGGAGGATTGGTCACGTTTCAGCTATACTGGAACTTGATGAATAGCGCGTTTCTCAGCTTGTCGAACGTGTTCAATCAACTGATTCGTGCTTCCAGTGCTGCGGAACGAGTTTTTCAGATTATAGATGCGACAAAGGACAAGGCCAGTTTGATCTCGACGCCGAAACCTCCGACATTCCTTGACCGCATTCTGCCGTCAAGTGGGAGCAGTAGCGAAAGCTTGACAGGAGACCAAGATATTTTGGAACAAAAAGGTTCGACATCACCAGCACCAAGTACTACAAGTACAACTGCAACATCGTCTTCTACAGTCAACAACAACACCAGCAGAACAGGAGATGCAACTACAACTACATCTTCATCAACAACAACAACAACTTCCGCCCAACAGCAACCAGCTAGCCCAGTCGACGCTCCTCGTGGAGTCGATATGGAAAATGCCGCTAATGCAAGAAGAACTGCAAGTATACTTTCGTCTCCCTCTTCTTCAGCCGGGTCGTTCCTCACTGTCACCGGACGTCGTATAGATGTGCCAGACCCTCCGGCAACTGCAAAAACGAGGCATATCGAAGACATGCCTGAAGATCTCGATGTTGATCTAGAAATGGGACCAGCAGCTGCTACAATCAGTACAACGCCTACGGATGATCAACACAGGCATGCAGTTAAGAATGGAGGAGGCAACCTTCTACAACCAGCAGTCCTGATCCAAGAGGGAGGATCCTCGTCATCCTCGACATCGCCACAACTTCTACGAGGAGACCCCAACGGGATAGCAGACACAATACCTCGTGAGCTGCAAGAATTGATTCCAGTGCCACGCATAGAGCACGGGGAACTCTCGCTCGAGGATTTGCATTTTCGATATCAAACTCGTCCTGACAATCCGGTCCTCAACGGACTGACTCTGAGACTGAAACCCAATACCACCACTGCTCTAGTGGGCAAATCAGGTGGGGGAAAGAGCACGGTCATTCACCTGTTGCTTTATGGAAATGGCTCTTAGTCATGTTCGTTTTGGGAATGAGGAAGACTTGTTCTTCTAGCTACTGCTTCATTCTCTCTTCTTCGGGTTGACGATCTTGTAAAAAATCTCTCGAAGCTGTTTCTGCGCGTCCACCATCACAACTACAAATAACTGACCTTATCTTCATCTAATGCCTGAAATTCTACGACCCGACCGCTGGATGCGTCAAGCTTGATGGTCAAGACTTACGCCTCTTGAATCCGCAGGATGTGCGCCGATTTGTTGGTTTCGTCGCTCAAGACACACAGTTGTTCGGGACGTCAATCCTGAACAATCTGCTCTACGGTATGCCAAATCGAGATACTGTAAGCACTGCAGAGGTCGTCCACGCATGCAAACTAGCTAATGCCCACTCGTTTATCATGGAAACGGAGGATGGATATCAAACCAGGGTAGGAGAAAAAGGAGTCATGCTTTCAGGCGGACAAAAGCAAAGGCTGGCACTGGCACGCTGCTTCCTGCGAAAACCCAAGTTCTTGTTCTTATGTTGAAGAGAAAATAACATCACACCATCACCAGATGAGCCTTGTCTGACTAATACTTTGCGTTGACTTTAACGTGCATGATCAAGTTAGATTTTCGCTACTTATAAATGAAATTTGGGTCATCCAGGGCTGAGTCTAGAATTGAGGTCCTCAAAATATCAAATTTGATTGATCTAAGTTTTTATCCAGATTTGAAGTCCTCAAATCTTCCATATATAAAACTAGCTCTTTGGAGTGGTTCCCCAGGGGCAGGGGTCAACGGAATTTCAAAACATTTGCTAGAACAATGAACTGCAGGTGAATGTGCAAGAAAAGCAAACAGATGCTTCGCCAAAATAAATGTGAAATAGCATCAGTCTCGTCTTCTGGACGAAATGCAAGGTCAAAATTCAAAATCCAGAATTCAAAATCAAAATTCAAAATTTAAAGTTCAAAATTCAAAATTCAAAATTCAAAATTCAAAACTCAAAATCAAAATTCAAAATCAAAATTCAAAATCAAAATTCAAAACCAAAATTCAAAATATGAAATCAAAATCAAAACGAGGGAAAAACTTTATACTGTAAGAGATTTGGAACATCTAAGTTTTTATCCAGATTTGAAATCCTGAAAATTTTGAGAATCTAAGTTTTTATCCAGATTTGAAGTCCTCAAATCTTCCATATATAAAATTTGGAGAATCTAAGTTTTTATTTAGAATTGGTGTTCTCAAATCTTCCATATATGAAATTTGGGTCGAAATTTGGGTCATCTAAGTTTTTATCCAGATTTGAAGTCCTCAAATCTTTCATATATGAAATTTGGGTCATCTAAGTTTTTATCTAGAAGTGATGTCCTCGAATCTTCTATTTATGGAATTTGGGCCATCTAAGTTTTTATCTATAATTGATGTCCTCAAACCTTCTATTTATGAAAGTCTAAGTTTTTATCTAGAATTGGTATCCTCAAATCTTCCATAAATGAAATTTGGGTCATCTAAGTTTTTATCTAGAATTGATGTCCTCGAATCTTCTATTTGGGTAATCTAAGTTTTTATCTAGAAGTGATATCCTCAAATCTTCCAAATAACAAATTTTCTGCAATTGAGCTCATCAGAAAATGAATTTAAATAAAATGGAATAAAATCAAAAATTTTCAAATTTGGTAAATTTTGAAAATTTTGAAAATCATTTTATTCTAACACATTTGGACGAAGCGACTTCTGCGTTGGACGCAGAAAACGAGGCGCTCGTGCAGGAAGGCATCGACCGGTTACTTGCCACCTGTCATTCAACCGTGTTGTTGATAGCACACAGACTCTCAACCGTTATTATGGCTCCTAGCGCTACCCTAATATCTTGTTGATGCAGAGAGTGTGAAGTAAGAGCGTGCCTCTAATTGACATACTTTTACTTCTCAACAGCTTCGGTTTTACCTGATGTTGGATCAAGCAGCCGCACTGTGCGTACTTACTAACCCTTGATGTTGTCTTCTCGTAGCTCCTTCGTCAAACACTACTTGTGTCCGCCTCTAACATCCTGAATGCCGATCAAATCGCCGTGTTATCCGGAGGCAAGGTGCACGAGCTGGGAAACCATCAGAGCCTGGTCGAGCAGAATGGCATCTACGCGAAATTAGTCGCAAGGCAAATGAAACGGGATGCCAATGTGATCAAGGAACACGAAGTCGAGGTCGATGGCCAGGGCGCAGAGCAATCCGGCGCCAAGAGTACGTCCTCAGGACGAGGGGGTCAGAAAAATCGAGATAAAGCAGGAGGCGGACGACCAGGTAAAACAGAAATAGACGAGCTTTTGGAAGAAGAAGAGAGCTGAATCAACCTTAGCCACCGCTTATTGGATCGTATTATCTAGGGAAGACTATGGTGGAGACTTTTATCATGCTTCATAACGATCATGTTCATCAAACTCAAACTTCATTGAATTTTTAATGCTATCTGCTACTTGTTCTTCTACAAAAACATTTGCCATCACACATTACATTTTCAACTGTGCGTTAATACAATTACGACCACATCATTTGTCTGGTTCATCTGGAGCCGATTCTAGCAAATTAAGTACTCACGTCATAACTTATCAATAGCGGTGGTCCAGCCGCACCCCAGAAACAAAATGGTCTTGTTATCATTTCTTCTACTTGTGTGCAGTCAGAAGTTGTAGCACCAACTACGCTCTTCAGGCTGCGTCTCTCCTTGTTATAAGGGCGAAAGCTTCTCGTTCTCGCGCTCCTTGTACGAGGAGCATTTGTATTTCGGATATTTTGTACGAAGTGGACCACTCTTCCCATCGTTGGCCCATTTAGATTCAACATTGTGCATGACTTTGACTCACACTCATTCTGCATTTCTATTTACAACTTTGTGCCCACCCTCAGGATACCTATATCATTTTTGTTAGTTGAACTATCATCAACACATAGCTCAAGATCAAGTTTCTGATTATTTTTCGCATACTTTCGGTCATGACAATAGAAAAGCTCATCTTGCTCCACCTGTACTACTTGACCATGTACTACTGGCATCATACCTGCGTTTGTCGATGATGAAATAAGTCAATCACGACTCAGTTTACTCGCATATTATGCGTATGGAGCTGAAGGATGAGGAACTTGATGCGAGAAAGAAGTACACATTACTAATTTATATAAATGAAATAACAATATTAAGGCTTGAGGACGTGGCGTCCATCGGCTCGAAATTGGCTTCGGCACTGCGCTGATGAAAAAAGTGAATGGTTCCGGTATTTTGTAGCCTGAATTTCTTTGATCACAAGGATTCTCTTCTTGTTTTCCTTATGATCAAAATCAGGCTACCAAATACCAGAACTATTCAAAAAGACATCACCTTCGTAAAGCGCGGTTAGAAGAGTGAGGAAGTTGCTGCCTGGGACTGCGATGAATGGCTCCAGGAAAAAGTAGCCCTAGCGAGCGAGGAGTGGCTGCCGTTCGAAGGGGGCCTCGACGAATATGGCGACTACTATGCCTACATTCGAAAAGACGAGGGTGGTGATGGGCCTTCTGCTGCTGTTGACGCAGAAGATGGTGCGGGTGGATATGAGAAGTGTATGTGAAACTGCGACAGATTTGTTCAGATTCAATTGAAAAGCGACTGTTCATTCTTGGACTGTGAGTGGCAAGATCATCTCCGTCAGGAGTCCGACTACAGATCTTTACTTAATTCTAAGTAAGTAAGTACTTATAATCTTAATCTTCAAATAAAAGGCAAGAACATGAATGGAACTGGATCAAACTACATGTTCAGAAGAGGCAGCAACGAATGATTCTCTTCCCGACATTAAAAAACTCGAACTCGCAGATCCTCGATCATGATCATCAGGTGGTTGTAGAAAGATCTTCACGTGATCAATGTTGATCATCTCACAAATAAGTTTGACGAGTCCTAATGTAGTGTAGAAGTTTGGGTCCTATTTTTAATGTAGATGATAAAAATGTTTGAGTTGGGTTAATGCAGGTCGTGAACGTGATATTAATGCTGTTCATGTCTCCTTTCTCATCGAACACGACCAGGTGCACGACCAGGACCATGAATCTCTTTCCGTAATAGTACCTCTAGGATGCTAGAGAACGACACGAGTGTTAAACCTTTTACTCGAAAACGCAAAGAAGATATCATGTGTAGCTTCATCCTACGTTACTAGCAAGAATATCAATTTCTAGTCGACAATTATTTGTCTAGAGGTACCAAGCGATTTGACTTGATGACTTGAGCTGTTGAAATAGACCTGAAAGCCTTAGTATTGAAAAATAGTCAACAAGATGGGTAAAAATCAGAAGAACAAGAATGTGCGTCATTTCCGCCTTGTGCAGCGTCCCACGGTCGGTGACGAGGACGCTGACGCACAGAAGAACTTCTTGCAGCCGTTCTTGCCCGTCAACGAGATGCGACGAGGAGAGCGTGGGCGCCGAGACGGCGAAGAACGCGTTACTGGGGTGAAGCGCACAGGAGCAGCACTCGAGGAAGAAGAAGCTCGCAACGAAGAAAAGCTTTACAAGCCTTTAAAAGGGATGGACTCAGACCAAGCGAAGAAAGTATTCGGCTTGGATTTTTACGACGATGACGAAGAAGAGGACAGTGAAGAGGAAGAAGACAGTGAGAGCTGTGAGGAAGATGAAGATGATTCTGAGGTCTGTTCCGACGACGACGGTGGAAAAGCTAAAAGTATTTTTTCAACTGCGACCGGCGGAACCACTACAGCTGGAAATAAGAAGAGTAAGAAGGCATCTTCCACTTTTCTTGAGGAGCGACTTGATGACGAGGATGAGCACTATTTTCCCGATGATGGCTACGATTACTCGAAGCACTTGCGCGTCATCAATGACCGAAACCTGCATAAGGCACAGCCCATGATAACGCGTCCCACTGCTCACACAGGAAAAGAACATCTTAATTCAGGAGTTGTTCCAGGAGCAGCTTCGAGTTCATCATCATCTGCTGCAGCTGCTATTGATCCTGCTCTAGCGAGCGGAATTCAGAAGGCGTCGATCGTGTGTGAGGGTATGCATGCACCAGTGGAGGCAGTGAGAGAACAATTGAAACGGATAGAGGAGGAGGAAGCTACCGGAGGAAAAATCGACATTCTGAAATTGGATGCAGAGGGAACCGAAAAACCCAAAATGCCGACTAAACCGATTGTCTTTCGAGATGCTTTTGACTCGCGTGTTGCTGGCGAAGAACAGGTAGAAATCTGTTTTATTTTTAAGTTCTTTGACTTTAATATTTTTTACCATCGGATTCGGAAGTACAAGTAGAGAGCAGGTTCAAGTTCTTGAAATGGAATATATGCCATCTTTACGTATGGTTACAAGAACTATTTTTTCCGATTGTTTATTTCATGGTGGTCTTCTTGCTAGGTTGTAAGTTATCTTTTGTAAGTTACCTAAGGCTGAGGTAACATTAATCTATTCCAACTCCTCTACAACTTCTATGACTACTACAGCTTCCCGCCGACATTCTTGCTGCCTTGGATGCTGATTACGACGAATTGCCAGAGGAATGTGAGGGAGACGCTTTTGCTGAGTGGAACGACCTGTACAAGATCGCTGGTGGCGTTGAGGACAAGGACGTGGCTGTGTGGGGTACTGAGGGCGCCGAACTCGCTAAATTGGAACGCATGAAGCGTGGTGTCGGAATTTTGGACGGAGGCAAAATTTTCGGGGATATTCTAGAAGAAGGCGACGAATTTGAGGAGGACAGTGATCCTGATGCTGAAGACAGTGATGAAGACAGTGATGAAGAGGAAGAAGACGATGAAGACTTCGATGAAGATCAAGAAGATCATAGTGATACAGAAGCAGCACTGTTTGCTGAGGTTGATCAATTAGCAGCTGGTCGTGGTGCTGACTACAATGTTGGTACTAATGAGGTACCAGAAAACTTGCAAGAGTATCGTCTACGACAGATGTTGGAAGACGACTATGACGATGACGCCATTGGCGAATTGAATCCACAGACGATCGAAGATCGCGAATGTGGCAGAAACAAATTCACAACGACGAAAGATGGCATGGACGACCGCTTGGATGCCATCTTAGACGAGTTCTTGTCCGAAAAATCAAAAGTGAAAGGGCAGTTCTGGCATGAAGGCGGGGAAGCAGTTTATAAACAGCCTGCAGCCACTTCTTCGGATCGACAAGGTGGACTAGCCGCTGGGGCAGCGGGATCCTCATCTTCAAGTTCCACTAGTGGACAACCACAAGCATCTTCAACATCAAGTCCCACAGAAAAGCAAGGAACCTGGCAAGCACCTAAATTGAATGCTAGACATCGTAAATTCGTGTGGGGCATTGGTGAAAAGCCAGAGGAAAAGGGCATTCGAGACTCCAAGGACAGTGCGCGAATGAAGATGAGTAACGGAAAAACGCGACTTGGACCAGGTTTGCTTGACTGCGAAGAAGACTTTCTCGATGAAGCGCAAACACGAGGTGAAGATGATGAAGGAACGACTGCTTGTGCTTCTGACAACACGACAAAAGCAGAACCTAGTACTGCGGAACAGGATGGGGAAGAAACAACTGCATCTTCTTTAGTTCATCCTGAGAAGATTGACGTTCGAGATGCAGTTTTGGCAAGGGTTGGGCAGATGGCTTTGGAGGAAAAAGATGAACCCGAAACCGCTGATGAGACCAATCGCAAAGTTCTCAAACTCCTCGGTTACAGGGAAAAGACTGGCGTCGAATTCGATTGCGAGACGATTCTCTCAACGAGGTCGAACCTAAGCAATCATCCAGGCAAGATTTTACTGCCATCTTCCAGAAAGGATAGGAAAAAGATGAAGAACATGAAGGGAGGGGCACCAGGAGCTGCCACCGGCGGAGGTGTAGGAAGTGGACTGCTGACCATCACAGAAGAGGACTTTGAAGATTCAGACGAAGAAGATTCAGACGAAGCAGAGACTACCGCTTCCACGATTGCGGAAGACGATGACGAAGATGGAGCAGCTGTCGTTATCCCAGAAATTCCAGAGAGGGTGAAGGGAGAATCGAAAGAGCAAAAGAAGGAGAGAAAGGCAGCCGTGAAAGCAGCGAGACGAATCTGTAGGCAAGCTAAGAAGGAGAATACAGCGCTGTTTGCGGCGGAAGCATCAAGGCAGAAACGTGAGAAACGAACGGGAACGACAGGCGACGTCAAACAGGGCGCAAGAATTTTCGCTCTGTAAACGGACTTGTCAATGTTGAACAAATGTTACGAGCACTACATGATTGGTACAACTATGTGCATCTGACCACTCCCCAAGAGATTCAAAAATGTCGTTGCAATACTAATTTCTTGTTTCAGGTAGACCCAGCACTCTAGTATAACTCCACATTGAAGAAGTTGTAACCAACAAGTACCTTCTGCCTCGCGTGTGGGTTCTCTTGAGGAACCGAGGAAGAGTTCACGTTGTAGCACCGAATGGACGCTGTGCGCACGTTTCCGAGAGGAGAATCGGTTGTAATGTGGGTCATCAAAAAATAGAAGCTCGTCGGCCCACCTCGTCGCTCAGTTGGGTCCTATGACTCGGTAATCGAGTCGTTCTTCATTAAGGACCTTACGAGCTATTCAAAGATCCTATCCTGTTATTTCGAGCATCCTTCAAGTAAACTACGTGAGTAATTATGCACTTACTTTTGCAATTATGCTGAGAGAATGAGTTGGGACCCTCTTCTAACAGATGAAGGCCTCGGTCGTGAGAGCGTCACTGCATTATGTCACCAGTCGGTAATTAGCTATGTGTCAAGTAGCTGCACGGAGAAGTATCAATTGACTACCTGTCCCTCTAGACCTGTCCACACCCGCAGATGCAAGTATGCAAATATCATGAAGTAGATGGACAATATTCATGTTGAAGGGGACTTAGAAGTCCAAGTCGTCCCAAATTTTTGATGCACTCTGTTCTGTTGACCGAAAAACAAGCAGCCAGGATAAGCAGCTGGAGGCCCGAGAAGGCCCTATCTGAATCTAAGTACTTAGACATGTTACATGATAGATAGGTATAGGGGTAGCAGGAGGCTACAACAATCATCTTCTACATCTACTCGGAGGAGGACTTCTTTATGTAACTCCGAGAGCCAGCTGTGCCGGTGGTTTGGTGCTAGTTGTAGACCTAGTTGCTAGGTCTTGTAAGTACTAAAAGTAACCTCCTCAAGAAGTACCAACCAACATCACGATGGCATTCCACAAGACGGCTGCGGGTTTTCTGGAGGTCCAGGAGGTGCCTCAGTTCGACCGGAAGAATGTGGTCGCTCCGAAGTTCAACGTGATTCGATCGCAAAGTGTCCAAGCTTGGATGCAGAAGCGGGCTCCCGGTTTAAGTCGAAAACAAGCGAGTATCCATGAGGAAGGCTTTCTCAGGTTGCTCTGGACCACGATCGATTACGATGGAAACAACTACATCGACTGCGACGAATTGCAGTTGATCGTTGCTGGGATGCGGCTGTCCTTCTACTCCGTGTTTTACTTCGGCGAAACGTCGGACTTCGTGTACAAGGACCCAAACGTTAAGAAAGAAGTGAAGATGTTGGGGTTTAGTAGCCGCATTCCACTGTTTCTGCGGAACAGCTCTGCAATCGCGGGAAAAGGTGACGGGCTTGCGGCCCTAGTGAAACAAGCTGGTGGAGGAGGTGCTGGGAGCGATGGAGGAGGGACTGGGAGTCACGGATTGCCGGGTGCTGGTGCCACTGGAGGTGGTACCAACGCTCCAACCGCATCGAGTGCAGCTGGTGGAATGCTTGGAGGACTACTCAACAATCGTGCTAGCTCAAAAGCTAGCGCTGGTCTGCTTGCTGGTAAAAAAGCTATAACAGGTGCAAGTGGTACTGGTAGTAGCTCACTTGCTAATGCAGCACCCACTGCAAAAGCTTCTGGAATGTCACTTCCAGCGGGCTTATTAGGAAAGAAGCCAGGTGGAAACGCAGCGGCAGGAGGCTTAGCAGCTGGAGTGGACGCGGAACTAGAAATGCTTGGAGTGGGGAAAAACAAAACTGGCGAAACTCTTTATGATAAAAGGCAGTAAAATATGTAAGATCAACATCCATCTTCTACTTCTAGAAGATCTAGGAGTCTACTTAGAAGTTCTCAGAAGATGATGCTCCCTTTAATCACATAACATTCCTCCATCCTAAAAATCCTTTCACCTCTCACCAGCTTCATCTTCTAGTGGTACAAGTAGAACTCACGACCTCGTCTAACTTCCAGCAGATCAAATGCATGCTGGTTCTGTGCTTGTTCCAGCGAATTTGTCGCAAGTCAAGGAACCCACAAGTGCCCTTCCCGAGGAGTCCGAAATGGCGCAACTCCAGAGAAAGCTGGATATGCTTGCACTCCGAATCAACGGCGAAATAGAAGACGCCGAGAGGCAAGAGAGAGAATTGTTAAGGCTTTTCCCAATCCATGTGATGTTTAAGGAGTAAGTAGCCTGGACATCAGCACGGCGTTTGTCGTAAGTAGCGAAGAAATAGAAACATCACCATCTTCTGATGTCATGATAAGCATCCTTCGTTCGTGGACGCTTTTTTTGGCGACAAAAGAACGCCCACCATGCTTATCTTCTTCAAGGTGGATTCTACTACTTGCCAGGACGAGGTCACCTTCTAATATTGGCTGATAAGAATAAGCGATCCTCCTCTTCGACGACTAGGACACCATCCAAGGGTTCGTCTGTACGTGGTGAGCAGGAGCCGATGGAGGAATTCGCATTGTTGAAAGATGAGAGAGAGCAGTACTTCGATACCCGTCGTCCTGGAGACCGAGGTTGCGGCAGTGGCGATCCTGGAGAATCAGATGACGATTTTGATTTGACAAACATGAATTTTTCATCGAGTACAACTACGGCGATAGTGCCATCTTCAGCGAACAACAAAACATCTTCTAAAAATATGATGTCTCCGAACAAAACAAGCTTGCAGCAAGCAAACTTCTCTACTAATAGTGCAACAGGTGGAACATCAGGCTCTCCTTTGATGTTTTCAGGAAGTCCTAATCTGCCATTCGGCGACATTCGCAGTGACACTGCGTTTTTGGCGTCAAGAATGGGGTTAGACCCCAGTTTTGTGGACAAGGGGACTAGAGAGCGACTTCGAATGGGCGGATCGGAACTTGGTGGCCGAAGATTCCTCATCGAAATGGCGGCAGCTGCTGCGGCAGGACAATTGGAAGAAGACAACGGCTCCTCTTCTGGTGCTTCTGAAAGCGGTATCCAGTTACGGCTAAAAATGGAAGATCACTATTCTGACAATAGATTTTGTTTTTCAATTTCACTATCCTGAATCAGTAGTAAGAGTAGGTGAAGTGCAAGTGTCCTGAGTGAGGACGTAGATGACGTTCCACTTAGCTATTCTTCCAGCTGAATGATCTAAAGGGGAAATCAACAGCAAGAGGACGAAAGACGGCACTTAAGAACTCACTCACCGCGGATTCGGAAGTGATCATCGACTACCTTTAATCCAAGTTCGTCCGAATACAGCTCCAGATGGCGAAGGCAATGCTTCTAGCGGACGCACGCCAAAAGTGGATGCCGAAAAGGAGAAGCTACGGAGACTAGTGGCGAAACGATTGCGACACGATGAGTCTCTGCAATGTAGCGTGAGAGCTTTGAAAGCTCAGGAAGCATTAATGGAAGCAGACGCTTTTCTTGTTATGGAGGATCTTCGCCCTCAACTTCATTGATTCTTTTTCTTGGCAGGCACAAAGAGAAAAACAAATGTTTCGTCGTCGTGATTATACATTGTATGTTGTAGTGCATCTTCTATGCATGACCGTGACGAAGGTCAGACAGACGGATCATGAAAGTGAACAATCAAATTCAAATCGAAAGCACATCAACATCGATCTTCATCTAGTATTCAACATCTTCTAATTCCCGCGACAATCTTGGTCCTCACGGTCGTACGACCACCAGTGAGGCGCAGATTGAGGCCGTCCGAAAACACTTGTTAAGGGTTTCCGAATTGCATTCCTCACTAGCATCCCTAGCTCTTTTCCCGGTAGAAAAGAAGCCAGGGATGTTCTGCGGAATGTAATTCCGTAACCTCTAAACTTGACTTTGCGCAGCTACTGCCCTGAAGGGACGATGACTCCTCGAACCCTGTCCAAGATGCAAGACGAGCATCCGCAATTTTTCTCTTCGTTCTTGAACAATCTGATCTTGAACAAGGAACGCCTAGTAAACGGAACCTTGCCAGCAGGGAAGAAGTTGGTGAAATCACATCTTGCTCTGTTGCAAGCAGCGGATGAGATCCACGATCATTTGTCGAAGAAGAGTGGCGAAGCGCCTATTCTGTGGCCTGAGTTCGTGCAGATTTTGAAACCTTTGTGCCGACGCGAGATCGACCAAGACTTGCTGTATGCGGCGTTGCCTTTACATCTGCTCGTGCACGAATGCCTGCGTAAGAAGGAGTTCGCGAGGTTAGACACTGTCTATAACTTTCGAGAGAAGCAATTCGAAGAAGCATTTGCGAAGAAGCTACGGCGTCCAGCGGGTAAGGGGAAGACGCTGTTGACATCCGGTGGTTTAGCGGGGGTTGACGATATGGGAGTCGGAGGCCACGTTGTTGAGCCGGATCCGAAGGACTTGAAGATGATGACACGCAGAGGAGGAGGTGCGGGTCTAGCATCTTCAAGTATTATGGCTGCCTTTAATCCTGCTCCATCTCTACTATGTATACCGAGGATGTGTCCCTCATCACGAGAAGTATAAAGGAGATATAGTTCTTGAGGGGTTCCTACATGTTGGATCGATCAGAGGTACTAGCTCTACAACTAATAACAACAAGACAACTTCTGGGCCGTCAACATCGCAGCCACGACGTGCTAGAGCTGTGCATGACTACGATAGTGCACCACAAGCGATTCCTCGCATCGGTGCAATCGGAGACACCAGCCCGCCAGCTCGCTGGTTCTCCGGAAAGCTAGGACAGAAAATGCAAGGCGTGAGTCCTCAAAAAAAGAGTCCGCGCGAATGGCCAGTGGAGGATGAGGAGTATGATGCTGGCATCGCGGATGGCGGCGCCGAAAAGTCACCTAGGGGTGGCCGCAGAACCGCTGCAACAGTTCTCACAACAGGAGGAACGACTACGACAACGACGGGGGGAACACTCACAGCTGGTGGAACGGCATCGCCAACGGGAGGAGCAACATCGGGTGCAAGCGGAATGAAGGTGGGCATTACTGCTGCAGTTGCAGCGAACAGACTCGTCACAGGAGGTGGAACGAAAATGATGCACAACAAGGCAGGGTCAGTACTAGGAGATCCGTCTTCAGTTGGGGGTTCTAGAATGTTCAATAGCGTTGGACTTTCGTCTTCTCCGGGAGATCCTTCTAGTCCGGGGTCTTCACCAGGTGGCGACAGCGCTGTTGCAAGAGCAGAGCTGTCTGGTTGTGGAAAGACCAATCCTCTAGACGATGACGAGGACGATGAAGTAGCGGCTGCTGCTGCCTCGATTGCGGCACGAAACCGCAAGAACAGGCATGCTGATAGAGGTCCTGTGGACGTGGTGTTGTATCTGCGTTTCGGGAGTCTACGTCAAACCGATGGAGAGGAAACGCATCATCACGTAGTGACGAGTCGTGGAGGGGGAGTTGTTGTTGGTGGAGGTGGTGCAAATAAGCCGACAAGCAAAGCACCCACTAAGGAGACTATTTCACGAGGAGGACCCGGGTTTGATGAAGATGACGTAACTCTCTGCGCACTATTCGAAGAAGATGATGCTGTGACTTTTCCTCATGGGCCTGCACTGATGAGCGCAGGACGACGTAGACCGGGGATGCGCGGACATGTAGGAGATTTAAGGGTAGGTTAAAGGTGCTTTTCTTACCGCTTTTTATGCCTCTCCTAAGGGAGAAAGGCATAAAAAGCGGGGTAAGCAAGCACCAAAAACCTACCTCTAAGAGATGACGTTCCACGACGAAAACCACCTGTTATGCACGCAGGTGGAGTAGCAGGTGGACCGTCTTCTCTATTTCCATCAACTGTTGGAGGTGGAGGGAATAAAATGATGAACAGCACATCCACTAGAGCAGCTGCAGGTAGTCCAAATCAGCATGGGTCTACATCAAGAAGCCCCTCACCACCTGGCGGTTGGAAAAGTAGTAGTCCAAAGAAGATGTCACCAAGTAGAGGCGGTGGAGGCTCGCCTTCAGCGACCTCGTCCAAGGTTCTTGGCGGAGGCGGGAAAGGAAGTAACGAACCTGAGTATTGGTTATCGATGCCACCCGCACTTGGCGGCGACTGCGCAATGCGAAAACATCCCAACGAAGTGGCTCTGTGGAGTTTTCCAGGTTTCAATCTGAAAATGGGAGGTTCAGCCTCCGCATCCTCGTCACAAGGAGGAAGAGGGAAGGACAGTCTAAGTAAAGCGTCGAGTGCAGGACGCGGATCGAATGCGTCAACCGCAACTCGTGGTGGCTCTATGCGCAAGAACAAAGGATCTGGATCTTCAGGCGCTCAGGCGAGGTCTGCAAGTCGTGGTCGCGGTACAGGGAAGAAGACAGCAAAGAGGAAACCCGGGAGTGGATCGCCACAGGAAGAGGAGCAAACACTAGATGATATCAACTTCAAGGTTCCTCCAGAATTTATGGAGAAGGGCGAAAAGATGTCTTTGTTTCATGGTTCCATGCTCTACAACGACAGATATTGATGTTGAAGTATCCTGTCTTTCTCAAGAAAAACATCAACACTAGCTGTTACTTCTCCGCCATCAAATTTATCTGTACTAATAATGTGAAGAGTACAACTTGATGAAAAGGCTGCAGTCGTCCCTCCACGACCCCATTTTCGTCCCCTTTCATCCCAATCCAAAGTGGTGGCCCGCAGGGAAAGAAGAAAAACAAGGACAAAGATGCCACTGCAGCTGCTGGTAGCGATGCTGGTGCCGAAGCAAAGGAGAAAGGTGGAGCTAGTTCCCCAGGTGGGAAGTCCGCAGCTAGTCGGCGGTCACCAACTGATGGTGCCGCAGGAGTTGGTGGAAACAAGAGCCCGCCTCCCTATCAGATTCATACGTGCATGAACGCCTACGGTTTGTACCTACACAATCGCGAATTGCTAGGGCCTCGCGTGGACTCCCTCAAGAGTCGTGCGGTTGCAAAAACCACGCCTCCTTTTCATAGCTTCTTCGTTTCGCAAAGCACCGATCAAGTGTACGCGTTGCGGGGAGAAGGTAACTACAAAGTCGCTTTTTGGTGTGGGTTGAGAAATGCTTTGAGGAGTCGTCTAGTTGTACATGCACCACTTTTTAGCAGTAGCACCTTGATGTCGTGAGGCACTGTAACTCCCATCTCCTGTCTACTATCATCATCCAGTGTACTAGCTGAGAAAACCACATCATCTCATCAAACTAAGTACATCAATGTCCACAATTACCACAGGGGCTAGCGCCAGCGTGCACCAGCTAGACGACAAAGGGGCGCAGTTGACGAAATTAGCCTATGATACGCGAACCTGTGGGCCGTGGACGAAATCCACTGTTGTGCGAGAGATCGATGGGGATTTCTACTTTGCTCGGCGTGTCCCACCGTCTCAAGCCAGACGAGCCGGTGCTGGTGAAGCAGACGGCGCGTCTAAGGCCGCTAAGGCAGTTGCAGGGGTAGTTCCAGCAAGCAAACCAACGGCCTTGAACGGCATCTACCACTGGCGAAGAGAGCGCGATGATGCAGAGAAAATAGAGATGGCTTTAGCGGAAGGAGAAGTAGCGATGTTTTCAGAACCGCACTCGCGGTTGACGTGGGAAGTGAATCCAACACCAGCGCACATTATGGATTTAGATTTCTCTTCCTGCATTATATTCCGAATCGACTGATGATGATCATGATGACATTAATAATGTTGATAATGATCTTGTTTTGATTTAGTCTTGAAATAGGAACGAATAGACGGTACAACTACAGATCATGTAGCATCATTCTTTTCTAAAAAAGCTTTTGCTACCTGAACGAAGCTGTTAGAGTTGTACAACAACTGCTAATAAATTGAGAATTTATTAAGTCAATCTTCTATTATACCCCATGGTGCGCATGCTCATCATGACTGGGTACACTACTAGTACTAGTCTCTCTAACCTCAACCTCACTGGCGAGAAGATGACCATTGTGGATTTCTACAAGGGGCACGCCGTTTTCGAGGTTTGTGATCCGGCCGTTCAGAATGCACTTTCCATTGGAGTAGTCGCCATGGACGACCAATTCGTAGCCCACGAGAGTCTCCGAGCCAGAAAAGAACCAGCGAAACTACGCTATCTATCTTATGGTCACCGGCTATTCATTTATTTCATGCAATAAGGGGTTAGTAGTTATAGTGTTCTCAATTTTCAATCCTCCAAAGTTTACATCCCCAACATCTTGGTGAGCACCCTTTTCGCATGCAATAGAAGGGCACCTAGGTCGGTCCCAAGATGGGGGAACTGAGGCGAATTTAGCGCCGCACTCATCTAAGTATCAAGATGTCCGCCAGTTGGCTATCAGAAACAGGTGATGGCAGAAGAAGCAGCCGCCGCGGCTCACGCAGCTATGCTGGCAGCCAGACGAGGGCCAAGAGGGCTGCCGAACCTCACCGGACCAGGCGCTTTTGCTGTTCGACGACAGTTCATCCGCTCAGTGAGTTGTGGTCTCGAGTTTGTCGCGATGGTGGAGGGGGAAAATCGATTGTACGTAGTAGGTTGCAATGATTACGGTCAGTGTGGGGTAGATCCAGGAGTCAACTTTTCGCACAACATAAAGGAACCAAACTTGCTAAAGTGGGACATGGAAGGACCGCTGCCACAAGGAGGACGAGTCGTGAAGGAAAGGTAGTTGGCAAAGACGATTAGATCATTTAGTAGAAGTTGTAGAAGTAGAAGTTCTTGGAAAAGGAAAAATAAAAGAGATCATAGCAGAAAATACTGTTCTAGATAAGCGACAGCGAGATGCTTGAATGTTAAAGAAAATCAAACTGCAATTCCCACACCAACAGGCCACCCGGACGTATCGAGCAACTGGTGACGGGTGCGGAGTTTGGCGCTGTGCTTGTGTATCCAGGAAATCACATCTTTACCTGGGGTCGAGGACAACGCGGGCAACTAGGGAACGGAAGCTACAGTCATCGATTCTGTGCGACGCAGATAACAAACAGTAGTCCGGGAAGTGCGAGTGGCCTACCATTAAGGCCTTGTAAGTACAGTTGAGTAGGTAACAGTAAACCCAAATTGTTTATCAATTTTGAAGCGAATAATCTTCAGTAGATTTTTTGAGGTAGTTGTGACTCGAACAAGCTTTGTTGCTGTGCTACTCCAGGATGAGAAACACTTCTCTACTGGTGGAGCAAGCTGAAGGTATTTGAGTACAGAAGTAATACCCTTTCTCCTGAATGATCGTGAAGGAGATTGTTCCTGCTCTAACGTTCTCACCACCACCCGGAACCCTGGGCTTACCTTTATTTCAGAAAGGTGTTTTGCCAGGACGCCTTTACTGTGGCGCGACAACATGCATGTTTGCGACCTCGGAGATCTGGGCACTTTGGGGAAGACTATTGGACTTTGACATGTGTACGCCCTTCGTGATCCCCATCGCGGAGCTCAACTACATCCTGAACTTTCGCGGGTTCTACAGCACAACTCCTGTTTTCAATGTGGATGAACAGGGAGTTATGAACACTGGATAGACATGAAAATTCGGAAAAAGTTTGTGCCACAGTAGGCAGAACATTTTTTGGTGTAGATGAAACTGAACCGAGCGTGCAAAACACTCTCAGTTCCCTAAATCATGAATGGTTGTTTTTCTACTTCCTTTAAATACAACCGCTCCTCAACTTATTTTTCCGTCAAGACCTGCTCCCCATCTTAAAAGCCAACATCATCACTGTCATCATCCTCTCTCCTCTCTAATCCCATACTCGAGGGCCCTCTCCCGGCAAGTGGCTTGCATCCGCAGGATGAGAATGACGTGGTCGCTGGACATCAAGCCTTGCCTGAATCCGTGAGCAAGATGGAAGACTTGGCAAAAGAACTCGTGGTTACTCACAAGGGCATTTTGCTGCGTCGTACCTGCTACGTCGCTAGACCCGATGATCTATTGTAGAAGTGTTAATAGCTGCACTGCGACTTCTTCGACGTAGAAGTACATGAGGACCAGACGAGGTAGAAGTTGTGGAGCCCAGTGGTCGTGTTGTGGAAGAGTCTGGGTACAGTCATGAGATCGATTGAAGATACAACTTTGCAATTTTTGTTCTACTAGGAGAACACATCTTCAAAAGTTCAAAACTACTCGTCTTGTTGGTGGAGCTGATGGTGGTGCTTGAGTACGACTACATGGATTGGTTGAAGTGTAATTACATGCCATATGGATATGCGTATCTTGTAAAAAAAAACAAATTGTACATAATCAAAAATATGAATCACTTATAACTTTCCACCTTGCGAAATAATCAACTACACAAACATTTCCTTCTCTTGATGTCATAGAAGCTGTTGCGGGCTGTGCATAATCTGTTACATATGAATTGAAAAACAAGCACTTTATCCACATGCAAAATGGAGTTGCGTCTAAGTCATCGATTCCACACGAGAATGCTAGTTTAAGTCCTCAGTTTGCAGTTCGATTTCAGCAATTTAAAAGGCTTCGGCTTTGCGCACAAAGATATTTGTATTCGTCCTCCACTTGATGGTGCTAAAAATCATTTCGCTCCTGTTGTGCGAGAGAAGGTTCAACACACCCGAATGAAGAAGCTCTCATCTTCAAGCAGAAGAGAAGAAAAGTGACTGGCTGGTTGAAAGCGTCAGGGGGAAGCACAGAAGTGGCCGCGTTGCGCATTAGACTGGATTGGAAATTTGCAATGTTGGCATATTAGAATGATTTAGAGAATTTGAGAGGTAGTCGTGCCAGAGGAAATAACAAAATATAAGACTTGCACGTCCTCACGGAACGTCCTCACGGTTGTTGAGCGGAAGAGCACAAGAAAACATTTTGATTTGAGTTGTTAAATTTCCTGCACTAGTAGAGAACACAATAAAAGTGAAAAAGAGAGCATCTTGTTGTTGTTCTGCGTCTTTTAAGTATTTTTCGTATTCGTGTTGCTTGGTATGCAAAAGTGGATATTTTCCGGACCAAAGAGAGTAACGCTTCATCAAAATCCTCCTCACAATTAATGATTCGATTTCGAAACCACAAATATAGCATGACTGTCTGAAGATGCGTAAATCACTTGCACAAGGATGCCAGTCTGATGCCGGAATCACTTGCGTCGCGTGACCTTCGTCTTTCGGACGACCAGTCTACAAATATGACAGTCGACGCAGGGAAGGGCGTGTCGGTGGAACAAGGTGCGGCAGACGCGCCACTGAGTTTAAATCTGAAGCAAGAGAAGGCTGATGACGGCTCTGAAGTGAAAGCAGATCCCAACACGTCGACTAGAAACGAAGGACTTGCGCCAGCACCAGGAAATCAAGACCCCGACCAGCAGGAAGCTACAAGAGCGCCCACAACTTGTCCCGCACAAGTCATGCTTGATATCAGCACACCACGTCATGATGGTGGAGAGGGCCGGACTGACAGTAAGGAGGGATCCCCAGGAGGCCTTGATAGTTGGTATGACGAGTCTGACGACAAAAAAGTAGCGATGGAACTTCAACAAGCTTCTGCTGTTCTAAAGCAGCAACAGGAGAGGAAAAACAAATCTTCATCCACGGCGATATTGGAGTCAGCAGCAGCGGATCTACACGGCAGAAACACATCAAATCTAACCGCATCTTCCAGTTCCCAGTTTCCCGCACCAAGTGGTAGTTCTTCAACAAGCTCAAGTAGTACTGGTCACGGTATGGAATGTACCACGAGTACTAGGAGTACATCAACCCAACCTACTTATTCAAGTCAAGCCACCTCAGCTGCGTCCTCCAGTAATCGACCACGAACTGACTCTGGAGAGGTGGAGGATCCATTCGCGGAGATAATACCTGTAGACAGGATCATGCGTGGGGCAGAGGCAGCAAAGAGCTTTTTCTCATGGGGGCTGTCGCAAGTCGCTGAACAAATTAACGAGAGCGAGGCGGGACGGAATTTGACCATAAAGGCAAAGGAAGCGACACAAGGATGGTTGCAGGCAGAAAGCACGGTAAAAGATCTTCAAGATTCATGATGAAGGTCGCTTCGCTCTCAAATTAGACCAACAAGCATTTTAGATAATCGCAGAATCTATTTCAGCTGGCATCGCGCAACGGGGAGGTGCAGCTTTTTAGATAACAAGTACAGCATAGTATAAAGTGTGGCTTTGGATGAAAGTGATTCGTCTCCGTGCACTCCCAGGTCCGCGCTTCCTTACGGCAGGGCTTTTCAGATACTAGCGAGCTTATGTCAGAGGGCTTAAGGGAGATTCGAGCAGACTTTGATGCCGTAGCGCAAGACGTAACTGTCTCCACAGCAGATGTGAGTGAGTCACTGAAGCCGAAGATTGCCGCAAGTCGAGAGAACTTCAAAAAATTCGCATCTTTTATGGAGGGGAGACAGCTTGATTTGATGATTATGTTAATTGATGCATCGTCATCGTGAGATTTCGTTTGGAGGTTTGGTGTTCATGTCCAAGACAGGTGGTTTTAGTCGTTGCTTCTATATCATGTTCCAAGACGAGACTACGACAGACGAAGGCGCCTGAAGATTTAGATGAGGCTCTTGATCCATTAGGGTTTGAGGTGTCCACGTGCAAATGAGTAGAGCAGTTCCTTTTTGAATCCAGTTAGGGTTTGACTCTTCTATCCGTAGAGAAGCATCTAATTTTTCCGCTGCCACCTCAGCAGCAAGCGCAGCGATTTGGTTTCAATCGATGGGGAGGGTAGACGCAGATTCGGATGAAGAAAAGGGTGAAGGGAAGCGGACAGTTGTGGGAGAGAAAAAGACTTATGAAGAGCATGATCTTGTTTGGTGCTGAGTAGTTCTAAAACCAGCACGACTGTAAAAACTACAAGTGGTCTGAAATAGTACTACGAGTCGTGGTCTGAATTAGTACTACAAGTGGTCTGAATTAGTACTACGAGTTATGGTCTGAATTAGTACTACATCAAGTGGTCTGAATTAGTACTACATCAAGTGGTCTGAATTAGTACTACATCAAGTGGTCTGAATTAGTACTACATCAAGTGGTCTGAATTAGTACTACATCAAGTGGTCTGAATTAGTACTACATCAAGTGGTCTGAATTAGTACTACATCAAGTGGTCTGAATTAGTACTACATCAAGTGGTCTGAATTAGTACTACATCAAGTGGTCTGAATTAGTACTACATCAAGTGGTCTGAATTAGTACTACATCAAGTGGTCTGAATTAGTACTACATCAAGTGGTCTGAATTAGTACTACATCAAGTGGTCTGAATTAGTACTACAAGTGGTCTGAATTAGTACTACAAGTGGTCTGAATTAGTACTACAAGTGGTCTGAATTAGTACTACAACAACAAGAGCGATCCTTTTTAGATGTTAGTTGCTTCAGAGGCTTTCTTCACTTTCATGAAACTTCGGCTGATGTGAAGACCGCGGAGACGGACAACGTTGAGGACCCAGAACCCTTGGCTAAAGTACCAGAGCAACAGCGTGGTATGGAGATGGGGGCGTGAAGGCGGCGATCGACCCCGTCAGAGTCTAGGTGGAGCTAGTGATGCAATCCGGTGAAACCAATGCTCCTGTTTAGAACCAGACACCCATTGTCAGGTGCTTGTCAAGCGACGCCATGTTTGTACAATGACCGCTACGGGCTCCCTTTCATTTTCTCATATCAATTCTAAATACGACTCTTCGATTGACGTGCGATATTTGGTCTAAATTTACCCAAATCCACACTGAATTTCCACCTTATGTTCATCGATGTGAAGATCGTGAGGGCCTTATCATGTTGGTTCTCATGTTGACGTATTTTCAGAAGCGATGAAGAGCGAAGCAGCGCGAGAGGCTTATGTTGAGACCGTGGAGTCGGAATGTGTGTTCTGTGGCTTCATGTTGGCGAAATCTAAAGAATGAAATCAGCTCTCTGAATTATACGAACAAGTTTTAGATTTAGATCCACCTTCGTCTAGGTGATGCAACCAAGACATCCCCGATGAGATCTTTCCGCACGTCCGTAGGTCTTATGGAGCAACCACTCTCCGCTCTACTAGAGAGATCATATGGAAGATATGGATCCGTTTCTAAAGATCAAAATGGGTGTCCTCTCTTAGACTAGTGATGACAAGAAGATCGCTTCGAACTCTCTGAAGCCTGTGCGCTAGTACAACCGGAGATCTAAATCGTGAAATACCGCAGATGCAGATCATGTTCGTTCTTAAAGCCCAAGTCAGGAGGATATGGAAGCGAGTCTAAGGCAGATCTTCTCAAAGATCTACGATCATGAGCGTTTTCTCAAGAAGAAGATGATGCTTCTTCGTGCATGAATACGGAGGAAGACCAACACGAAAGAACTAAGGTTCACGTATTATGTTGAAGATGGAGGTCCTGAAGCACAACTAAAAGTAGAATGTCGAATGATCGTGTACGATTTTGAATATCCTTCTAAATTTTGCACAACTGTATGAGTTCTGGCTTCTTGTCCAAAAGAATCAACCATCACTCTACCTAAATGAACATCAGGGAAACGAGGACTTCTAAAGTCGCACATAGTTGCATATTCTCCAGTAGAATTCTCCAAAAAGTACCTCACAAAATGGGTCGTATGTACGGTGCCGGAAAGGGTATGAGCAGCAGCGCGCTGCCGTACCGCCGACGTGCCCCAAGCTGGTTGAAGATGAAGCCGGCTGAGGTTTCCGAGCACATCTGCAAACTCGCCAAGAAGGGTCTATCCCCGTCTCAGATTGGTGTCACCCTTCGTGATTCCTTCGGCATCCCGCAGGTGCGCAACGTCACCGGATCCAAGATCCTCCGTATCTTGAAGTCCAAGCAGTTGGCGCCAACGGTAATTCTACCTTGTTCATGTCTAGTTGTGATTTAGATTTAGATTTTGCTCGTGAAGATTAGGTCACCAACTTTATTGGAAACCACCGGAAGTAAACTACTCGAATCGAAGCAGATGCTGGGAATTTCGATACGGTCTTCTAGAAGCATCCACCAGAAAAGACGACAGCATCCACCAGAAAAGCGACCACATTTAGAATGGCACTCATTAATACTTTTATCCTATGTACCTTTCCAAACTGTAGCTAAAGTCGACATTTAGGAACAAGGGATAACTTTCTCGTCTAAATTTCATTCACATTCTCCAACCTAGGTCCCGGAAGACCTGCATCACTTGATCAAGAAGGCTATTGCCATCCGTAAGCATTTGGAGAAGAACACCAAGGACAAGGACTCCAAGTTCCGATTGATCCTGAACGAATCCAAGATCCACCGCTTGGCTCGTTATTACCGTCGTGTCAAGGCCCTTCCGGCCAGCTGGAAGTACAAGGCTGAGACCGCCTCTGCTCTCCTCACCATGTAATTTGCTGAGATCAGGAGCAAGGACGAGTGGGAGGGTCTTAGAAGAGCCTCAGGAGGAGACGAGGTTGGTTCTTCGGCTGTGGTAGGGCGCGAGGGCGAAGTTTTCAAGGGACGGCGAAGGAGGTGGGTCTGACGAAGGAACGGAGATCATCTGGAAAACGCTCAAGTATGCGAATATCATGGTCGTGTGCTCTTTGGATGCGACATGACGAAGATGAAACTTCATTTTCATACTCGGACTCACTAGACCTCGTGTAAACTACTGATGGAGAAAGGAGAATCTAAACTAATGTGTCAGATATTTTCGGCTGCTTGGCTGATAAAGCTGGTTGTTCTGCATCGCTGTTCTTGTGAAAATGAAGTGGCTAAATTTCAATGAATCTGGACGCCGTCATCTTCATGAGGCCATGTGCTGATACCTGTCGGTTTGGGAATCAGAATTTCGGTATAAGGACTCGGTTGTCTGTGTGAAAGAACAGCCATGAAACATACATGTTGCCGAGAACACCCGAGCGTTTCTGAGATGACGACACTTGATTTTTCATGTAGATTCTTCCTGAATCGAACATATTCAGACATGTACTAGTTCCACTGCATGATCCGTTGTTGTCCTCGGTCAATCAGCGACGAGTCTAATTTGCACAAAAAATCTGAATTTGTGTCGGTTCGGAATTTTTAGTCCTTTGATGCGGTGACGCTGCGGTCATGCAATTTGAGGTGAGCTGCGCCCGATGTCACCCCCAGGACTAGCCCGTGCACTCAGACAAATAATTAAACACCTTCAGGTGGAAAATAGGCCAGAGCGTTACCTCATGCTAGACTTATTAATTCTTTCACTCATGCCCCACAAAACCTTCCCACAGCGAATGATGCAGGTAGTTCGATGTTTTGGAATCACTTGCTCTTGCAGGAAAAAGTGTAAGTGTTGCCCGAACGAGAATTTTTTTGTGTTGGCATTCTTTATACTAGGAAGTTTTGAAGCAGAAGCTAGAGAAGATCACGATTGCCGTTAATTTACTCATCATGGAGACTACGAGGCAACTGTTTACCAATGATCGTCTACTGTCTACCAATTGTGTAAACGTAATAGCCTTACGTATTGTGTAAACTTGCTACTTTCTAAGACGTCGCGCCTCTGTCACCATGCAGACATCTCCATTTTTCATGACATTTCCGTCAGAATCAGAAAAATGATGAACCAAAAGACTCAGCTTTTTTCGATGCCAGCTGACCCTGAGTGCGCACGGCGAGGGACCAGAAAAGCCGTCGCTCCCCACATTAAGGCTAGTGTTTTACTACCAGCGCGGAAAGAGTTTCGAACAACTGCTGCTCTTTCTTTGAAAGTGTGTCTGAGCTCACTGCGACTATTCATCTTGATCAGCATCCAGAATTCACAGTGAGTACAACTCCCTGACTTACGAGTCATTGACGTTTCTAAATCCAGTTTGAAACTATCATAATGAGTATTGTGTTTTGCTCTTGCTCGTCTCTAATCCCAAGGTTCCCCGGTTGGCGCGTGAAGATCCCTTGGAATATACTGAGAGTAGCAGCGAGGAGGAAGACGCGGGTGGTGATGAGTACGATAATGGAGGCCAGAATTGCTTTCGCAGATGGGTTCAGTGTATGAGCAAACCTTGGAATTGGCTCGCGCTTGTCATCATTGGTACTAGTACATTTACAACTTGTTCCGTCAACATGTTGTCGGTGAAGTGAATTTCGAAAGGTGGCGGCAGATGCAGGCGTAAAAATCCATCAATCGTCATAGCAGGGATCGTTAACCACAACAACAAGTACTTCGTTCGAAGTAGCATGGACGTCTAGATTGAATAATCAGGTTTTCTGACCTCAACGCTTCTAACCTCCCAACCTACCCGTCAGCTGCTGCTATAACATGTTTGGTCGTTTTTTGCGCGTACGTGACACCACGAACTGGTTCGGCTGTCTTGCGAGTTCTACCTTGTCCCAATGGGGTGAATCAGTGGTCAGTTGCAGCTTGGGTTACGTATCTGGTTGTTCTTCTCATCGTCCTACCGCTGATTCTCTGTTACGGCTAGGCCTAGGTTTGTTCTTTGTTCTCCTGAAGTATTGTAATATGGATCGTCCAGGGCAATAATTTGATTCATGAGCATGACGTACATCGAATTCGGTCTATCTACATGCCGATGCCTACATTCCCCATTATTTCCGTGATGGAGTCATCAAGTCAGAGGAGCATCGGCTGAATACAGCCTTTTTTTCGACTTGTTGTCCTCGGACTTGGCCAAGCTTCGTATCTCTAACTCTGCTTCTGTTGCAGATACGACGCGGCGTTCCTTTGAAGAGGGCATTTCCACGTACTGCAATTCGCACAACTATTAAGTGTGGCAGCGGCCGAGATCGTCCTCGTGGGAGATGTGCGATTCTGGACTACAGATGCCACAACGCAAGTCGTGGTCAGATCCTCGTAGCAGCCGGATAACACGATGTGTTGGTTGATGGGAGGGGGAGGACTGCCACGAGACGAGGTTCAAACCGCTTTCAGTCACATAGCAGCTCTAGTTGTCTCCATGATGACCGTCTGCGGATACCACTCGGCATGAATCGTCCCCTAGAAGAGCAAAAGCTCGCAGCCTTTGTTGGAGGCCAATGGGCTAAGGTAATCCGGTGTTGACGACAAGATCGCGAGCCTTGGGGGGTCTTTAGTTCATCACGCGCCGTGCGAGTGCAGCCTCTAACATCACGCATAGGGACTGGACATGGACAGATGAACAGTGACAGTTCCTCTTGTATAAAGATGGGCCATGGAACTTCTACACATTCTTCTTCTCTTCAATTTTGCAGGTGATCTTGATCTTCTATAAGGTTTGTCTTTACCCAAGAAAACCCCAGATAGAAGCAATTTCAATTTCTTAGAAAACGCATCATTTCAGGAAGCTCATTTCGCATGTTTGTTTTACATCATGATGACAATTTTTAAGTTCAGTTCTGCTTCTGAAGTAGATGACGAACCTTAACCATTCATCTCTCATCGCACTGAACTGCTCGAGGCAGTTGAGGAAATCAGAAATAAGACTATGAATATGTTGCACGAATATGAAAGATCAGAGCTGTTGTAAGGAAGAAGGCCCAGAATGATAGAGGTCTTCTTCACCTTGAATGAAAGAGCCCTTCTTCATGTTGACTTGTGTGCTAGTACTCGTGAGGATAGTCGTTATCCCGACCAAGTAAAAGAATCCCCCGCCTACTTCTTGCAATCTCCAGAACATGTGGTCACAACTACCTCTACTAGGTTTACGAACTGTCCAGAGGACATAGATACGACCTAGGATTCCATGATGACAACCTCTACTAAGTTCAGTTCTGCTTCTGAAGTAGATGACGAACCTTAACCATTCATCTCTCATCGCACTGATGGTCTTTGAAACGAAAAGAAGTAGAAGCATCGAAAGAGAGCTTTTATCGGTGGCTGCTACCGGTTCCTTCCTTGTTGTTGGTAAGCGCCGCAGCGGCGTACTCATAAGCCTGATTGAAGGCCTGTTTGTCAGTCAGTCGGGTTTTCCCCTCCCTTGTTTCTCATGCTTGTTTCAGGGGCAGCGCGTTTGATGTATGAAAAAGAAATATCTGAATTATTCGATCAGGGACATTGTGGATATACGATCGTACTGACCAAAAAATGCAAGTCATGATATGCTCCTTCCACTTCTACGATTCGCCCTAGTAACCCACTTCTATGGTGTTATGTTGTTAAAAAGAGGCCATGCAAACTGCCTCGTGGCTGAAACGATCTGGTGTTTGATCTGCGTCGGGAACGGGATCATCCTCTTCGGTAAAATGGCCATGGCGAGGATAGATCAAAGTATGTTACACTCTCTGGCGCAATCTGAAGACTTGTTTCCGTCCCTCTTCACGCAGGGTAGTCACAAGCTTGAGTCTAACGATCATTTGGCACCTTTCTGTCACGAAAAGAAAATCGACTTCACCGCGCGCATCATTTACATTGTACTTTTTCTCTCCACACGACCCGCCCGTGAGGCACTCGAGTAAGAGTAAGGGATAGAGGAACTAAGTGTGGTTTTCTATGCAGAATGGAGGTACTGACTGAGTTATTCAAGATGCGGCTTCTCGCCATCTACTTTGCGACGAATTCTTCTGTACTGGCAGCAGTGTGGCGGGGTAGTGCAACGGATCCTTCTCATCGTTTACCAGCACCAGCGCAGCAGCAAATGCGAATGGCGGAAAGCGGCCCTCAGGGCAAGCTGCTACCGTTCGAGGACTTAGCAGTTTATCAAATGCTAAAGTACCAAGCGGACTATTCCGGTGGCCCCGAAATCCATGCTGAATGCCCAATTTGTCAGCAGGAAAACGCGCTTGCGCGGGCTGTTCAAGGGAAAAACAACCGAACCGCGACGGGAGCAAGTGCATTCTTCGGAAGGGAAGAGGAGGAAAAGAAGATTTGGCGTCACTTCTGCGGGCATGCGGTGTGCGCATCGTGCAAGAGCAATTTGACGCGTCGCAAAGCCGACGACAAAGGTTGCGTTCTCTGTCGACAAGGCGGCAAAATGTCAGAATTGCTTCCGATGCATCTAGAAGAGAAGATGGGGGCAGCCGGTGGGGGAGTTGCTACAGCAGAGGAGTTTTTTCCGAGATGGACCGCGCAGGACGCGGTCTCGGTTGAGCGAGATGTTGATGATAGATTTTTTTTCACTTCATCATCTGGTCCTTTAACCACTCCTGCGTCGCGCATGCGTCTGTGGGCTTCGCTTGAGACCCGGGTTAACGAAGAGAAAGAAGCTTGGCTTAATCACGTCAAGAGAGTGGTCGACATCAGAGAACAACCGCAGCCCCTCCGAATCGGCGCGAAAACAGCGGCGGCTGAGCGCACGCAGCCGTTGTGGCAACTAGTGCGAGACAACAGCTTACTCTACTTGCGACAAAGAGCCATGCTGCAATTGGTGGAGACGCACGGAGCGAAAGCCGCGATTGAATTTGTCGCGAGCGTGCTCCTCACACCGCCACCAGCGCCGCCAGCAGCGGAGAGCGGTGGTCAGCAAGCTGAAGACGCAAGAACGGGTGCGGACCACGACCAGGGCCATGAACGTCGGAGAAGTCTTCTTAGGCAGTGCTGTGATGATGTTTTCGGGCCGCTGCGCGCTGGCGTTCGAGGCACCTACGCTGACTTTCAGGAGGGGTGTGACTTCCACGGACCGCTTTGGTGCCCCTACACCCTCTGCTGTCCATGCGTAGCGGTGGGCAGATGCAGTTGGCATGCGAACAAGGAGGCCGCACGGCGCCACCCCTTTGCCCACTCAACGGTGCTCCCCATTTTGATGGATTTGTGCCTCCTCTCCCAATGCGGCGCGTCCTGGGGCGTCTGCCCCCACCCAATTTTTCCGCACTCTCTGGACGGGTGGATGCACAGCATTTTTTCGGCTTTCGGTTGCTGCGTCCGGCACGGCTGCTGCGGCACTGCCCACGACGAAGCAGCCAGGCGGCCCGGAGAGCAGTTGCGATCGGCGTACGTGCAGCAAGTTCAGGAGCAGTATCGAACGCAGGTCATGCAAGAAGGCATGGATGTCTCGGAGGCGTGGACTTCTAATTTCGATCCTTGTTGCTGTGACCCGATGTGTTATCGACCGTATTGCTACGAATGCTGCGTACCGTACGCGAACTGCGCGCGAGTGGTCGGAATTTATGGCTCTGCCGCTCGAGGGGGTGCAGAAGAGCAGCAAGCGCCGCTCTTGCTAGATGCTGACGCTGCTTCCGTGACAGCACTGGCGGAAAGACTACGGAGAGCACTGCTTGTGACACGCGACTTTTCATCGCTGAAAAGATTCGTCCGGCAAGAAGTACGGGAAGGAGACGCACAAATCTTCATCCGCGATGACATCACCGCAGAAAACCTTGTCGAAGACCTCAAATTGGCGCTGCTCTGGTTCGTTGACAAAGATGTCGTGGCGGAAGGCAATGCCTTTGTGTGAACGCGAACGAAAGAAACTTACCACACCGCTTCGGCTTTATCTTGATGGACGGCCAGCAAAAACTTCCGACGTATTGCTCTTTTTCTGGCCACGACGGGAAGATGCGCTGATGCGAAAAAGATTGCGCTGGGCAAGAGGATAGAAGTAACCATGATCACTAAAAACGCGGCAGTGGCTGTTCGAAGCAGCGCTTGTTCGAAGGACACGCCGGCAGGCCGAAGTTGATTCCGCATGTCTGGATCTGGCTCGAATGCTGCAGACCACCGAGCAGCAGTAGCTTGTACCGCCACCCGCGCGCACGCGCTCTGTTGGCTTGAAGCAATAGTGGTTCGCATTCAGCTCTCCTGTGCTGGTCGAGGACCCGAAGCCGATCGGGCTTGCAAGAGGCTACGAATCGATACCTTTTATTTCCTGTGCCTACAACTTCATTTAATGTATATTTTGTTTTTGCGAGGGTGTGAAAGTTTTCTACTTTCTGCACGCTTTTCAAGTCGTGGAATTGAGCAAGATCGTGACAGAAAGCACATCAAAAGATCGGAGGGATGTTTGGTGATCTCATGCATAGCGAGAAGTCGCCACGGATGCGAGAGTGATCGTCAACGTACCCGTTCATTTCCAAGCTGCAGCGAAGCGGGACACGACAGGACACGCTCGCTCCTCATTTTCGTCATTCAATGACTTTCAGTAGCAGAGTGCTCTTTTTTGAAAAAAGCCTTGTGAGCGGTGGAAATGAACTCTATGTCTGTTGTACTTGAATGAAATGCTTCTGCACAACTCGAACTCGATCAGCGAGGCACGGGAGTAGAAGAGGGCAGCTTATTTTACGAACTCTGTTGAGAGAGGATGCTGGTGCCAGCGCGGGGAATATTTGTATACCTGCTAGGTCTGTTGGAGCGAAGGTAGCCATTATGCTCTGTTGTGGCAGAGAGGAGACGGTCGATGAGCTATAGCTATAGTACAGCAAATGAAGCTAGATGAGTGACGCTTTCTAGTATGGCAGTGATGAGGGTGTCAAACACAATTTACATCGACATATAAAACGAAGACGAACGTAATTTGCAAACAATTTAATACCTCCAGTGAGTTTGCTGCGATAGGATAACGACGGATAATATGAAGACGAGGAGCAATCCTATTTTTTCCCATCATCTGGCCCTTATCTTTTTGCATAAACGTCAGATATGAATATATTACTAGAGAAGGCAACTTTCGATCACGATCTTCACCTCAGTTCATATTTTTCAAAGACGCAGTCGTTTGTTCGTGTTTTTCCTGGCTGGTAAGTCTTGGTTCTTGGAATAAATAAAAGGAAAGGCGAGCAGACCGTTCGTACACAGCAAACCGAAGTCATCGAGTATTACTCGGTGTCAGTTCAACAAGCAAGAGCATCTTGATCTTCTAGAAGAGCAAGAAGATTTAGTTTGTGCCACCTGTAGCGGACAACTTCTAGGAGTTCTAGCTCTACCTGTCTAAGTTGTGTACAACCACTGTTATACCGCTCTATCTTGATGTTTTTATTTGTAATAAATCATTATCAACGACAAGAAGATGAAGAACAGCAAGATGGTGATGAACAAGATGAAAAAGGTGGTGCGTTCCGATCAACGGGCTCAACGCTCACACCGATCATGCGCGACGCGCGGCTCCGCTTTTTTAAGACTATTGAACATATTTATACTGATAGAAGTACATTCAGCACAATAACTTCTTGACCCATCCTCGTCGAAGTGTTTGTCTCTTGTAATTCTATCATCTTCCTTGCTGGACGAGTAGACGCTTCATTGCTAGTTCGAGAAGAAGAATGTATTCGAACATAAATGAGTAGATCAAGAAGGATGTGTAGTTGAATCAGAATTCTTTCTATATATAAGGTAATAAAGAAAAACAAAAAAATTCAAGCTATGGAGTAAGTGGATGTAGTTTATTCGCTCTTCTAATCACTACGTCGACTGCGAGCAGCACTACAACCTTGCTCCTCCTGGTAACAACTTCTCCGGATGCCTGCTCCGCTGTCTCGTTGAAGCCTGCAATCTCTACTACTGCTGGTGGAGATTTCAACCTTATCGACTTCATGAGAGATTATCGGAGCAATCTCTTGGCATCTGCCGCAGAAGGACAAATTAAGGCTCGTCCACATTGATGCCCTATTGAAAATATTGATGATTTTGATTATTCTTCATCTAGTTGTACCTCCCGAGAAAGAGAACCACGAAGGAGCTGGATCTTTCTTTGGCCGCTGCTTTTCATCTTAAGTGGATTGAATAAATGCACCACGCCAAAATTTGAAGGCGGCTCACGATGGTGAAAGAATATATAAGAATTTTTTGGGCAAGTTGCTGCGCCGCTCCTGTACAACTACCTAGTACAAATTGAATTAGTTGATGTTGAACGAAAAAATAGCCACCACCTTGACCTTTTTTGTTTTTACAACTCCTAAGCATATGGTGATGCCTCTGGCGCTGGACGCGGGGCTCGTTGCAGAGGAAGGTGCCAACTGCCCAACTGTCAGTGGGGACATAGCCAGCCTGTCAGCGTGGCTTCTTGACACCGCGAATCTTACGAGTAGTAGATCACTATCCCGTGTAGATTGGTTTATTGAAGAAGAGTGGAGGACCCGTCGTCCTTGCCCTTGGAAAAAATAATAGAAGCGAAGGAAATCAAACTTACTAGTAATCTGGGGGGGAACTACGAGGAAAGCACCCCACTCGCACTCAAGAACCATTTCACTTCCAGGGATACATATAGATCGACTACCTTTAAAAACCGCGCAGACTCAATGTTTTGCGCTTTTAAAGCTTTCAGCGAGGACGACGACTACCACCTGGCCCGGGGAATAGATTCTCCTGCTTCTCGCGAAAAGCGGGATGAGAGACGCACAACAGATGAGCATGTGCACCCTGCTTCTGCTCCACATGAAGTAAAGGCCGTGTGGGAAGGACTCTACGTGAGGCAGGCGTGGGAGAGGACCGCCGCCAGGCTGGATTTGCAGGGCAAAGGTGACCCACTTCGGCTGCCTGAAATGGTACTCAAGCTCGCGCGGAGCGACGCGCACGAGCAACGCAAGAAGAATATCGCTGAGCGTGACGAGGTCGCAAGGAAGGACATAGCGAGACTGGCAGCACGGTTAGCAAAGTCTCCGGGTAAGCCTTTGCCTGAGAAGGCTTTGGCGAAAAGTATTGCAGCTTTAGAAGACATGCACAGGCGAGAGAGGAAGGAAGAGCGTACGGAAGAACAAGAAAAGTTAAGGCTCAAAAATACAATTCGAATTCATCTCTACAGGCCATCCACTTCTCCCTATTTACTCCTTTATGGGAATCTGTGGAGAAATGTAGGCAAGAGTTGACTTTTTTTGGGCTCTAAAAAAGGGGGACCGCGATGACATCGCACGAACGTTCTGCACAAAGGCTTTGCCAAAGTTGGCACCAGGCGTCGAGGCCCGCGGCCCGTATGAAAGAGGGAGCGTACGAGCAATTGCAGCAGCAGGACGCGGAGAGGATGCTGGAGCGGCCAGGGGTGGAGAAGATCAGGACACAAGTAGCAGCGCCATTCTGATTCTTCGTTTCCGCGAGATCTGCAAAGAGATGTTTTCTGATGCAGAGCAGAAGCCTGGAGCGGATGCGCCGAACGTGGGTGAGGAGTTCTTTGCCTTGTTTGTTACGTGGTTTGCCGCGAATATCGCGATCCCAATCATAACGTTCACCGACGCACCCAATGTTGCGGCCGGTGGGTCTCTTTCCTTTGGCTTAGGCGACGGCGCTTTTGCTTACTGGCTCTATGAGCTCCGCACTCTAGAAATAGGCGGGGGAAGTGATCGGGTTCTTGACGCTGCCGTTCTGTGGCGCGTGCAGGCGGCTATGGCAATGGAGCGGGCACTCTTGTTTCTAAAGGTGTCTGGTCTTGCTGGTTCCCACCTCGCAGCCCAAAAAGTGCGTCCCCCAGAATATATCTTCAAGAAAGTTGAAGGTAAAGACGGAGCGTCGTGGGCGTGGTCGTTGCAGCAACATTATGCGGACTGGCATCACCATTCCCACTACTCTGCGACAGTCGATGAGATGTTCCCAATACGGGTTGACACATCGCGATCGGATGCTCGTCCTGCTGCTGAGGCCGAGTCCGATGCTTACGGCTTGGTTGTCTCCCGAGTCATACTGATCATGAAGGAGTCTGGCTCTGAACTGCCGTTGACCGTGCTCCACAAGTGGGTACCCGGAAAGTCCCCACAGGCTCTTGCGCTTGAGAAAGAGCACTGGAATAAAAATATCCTGAAGTCCGAACAGGAAGCGCGCGTCTTTGATACCGGAGGCCCCCTGCCTCTCAAATATCAAATCCTTGACCGAGAGCACCTTCTCGGGGACGCAGGGGGAGGTGCGGATAACGGCGTACACCTGTTAGTTCTGGGGAACAAACACGACTCGTGGGCAACAAGCCCTGCAGCGCTGTCGGGGCTGAGGATGGCGCAGACGCGTTTGCAGAAGTCGAAAGTCAACGTTTATTCTGTGGAGCAGCCTAAGTTTTTTATCATGCTTGCGCCGTTGATTGCGAAGCGCGAGGTGGGATCGAAAAGCGGAAAAGCGGCATCTTTCTCGCACCTCTTTGACATGTCGGCTTCACCGTTTACGCCAGTGTCCGCATTGTCACTGCACCCGCGCGAGTACGAGGTGATTGCGCTTCATGGTCGGGCGACGGTCGACGTGGAGCGCATATTCCTCTTTCCTCCAAATTCACTGGAATTGCTAGGCCACACGATGCTCCAAAAAAATATGCAGCTTTCGACGTGGGACGAGGTTCCTCTGGACGACGTAGAGAAGCTCCTCGATTTCGCCACGAAACTCGACGTGGGCCTTACGAATGCGCGGGCGCGATGCCACGAGGGTCCCGACTCGTTGCCTGCTTTTAGTTTAACGCCATACTCTGGCGAGATGGATCATGGTGCAGCGCATCGGCTGCGCCTGATGGTGTTGCTCCGTGCTCTATCCGAAGAGTACGCGAGAAGCAAAGAGGAAATGTGGCGGCTTGGTGGTTTGATCGTTGGCTGTCTCAGGGACACGCCGACATGACGGTCTCTCGCCACTCACGGGCCCTGAAGTTGTGGCTTTTGATGCTTAACCTTAACATGTATGCGTGCTTGAATATGGTGTTGTTTGTAGAATTTCTATTGCTTTCATCATCCACAGCGATTTTATCGTGTACTGAATCAGGAGAACAAGATGTTGGCTCGAGAAGCCGAATGAGCAGAAGCGGCCTCCTGATGTCTAAAAGTTCCTTTGCATAATGAGACCAATAACACGCATGACTTTCTGCATATTAATCGTCGAACAACTATAAAAAGAGCTTCCAGATCTCCTCCAGCAAAGTGGTCATGGTGTTCAACGTTGGAGATGAAACCGAGAATGCCGTGGTCCTGTTCCATCTTCGTTATTCTGCGAAAAAAATGAAATAAATCGTGCAGCATTCAAGCCGAACAACATCTTCAAATAGGAGGTACGAGAAGAATATCTTGACGATCGCAGTCGTCGATCTGATCTGTGAAGAACTCCTCTTCCAGCCTCAAGAAAGATAAATTTGTCATACTTGAAACTTTCTCAAGGACACAACTTTTTTTTTGACTTTTAGTACTGCTGGGTACAACTGATTCTTGTTTGCTTTCTCTACGCCCACCGCTGCTGGTGCGTCGAACTTTCATCGAAAAAATTGTAATCGTAATTGGATCTTCGTGATCTACTGGCTCATCGTCAACATTATGATCGTAAAACTTTCTTAGTGCTGCTGATGGTCAGGATCAACACTCGTTGTTGTTCTTTTGCGTTTTTGCGTCACGAGTAAGAAAAATAAGATTCAGCATCTTCTCATCAAATATACCATCATTCAATCGCAGGCAGCCTACGGCTCGGACCACACTACGGCTTGGGAGATGATCTTGCTGTTTTTCATCTTTGTTCTATTCTGTGACGTGCCCTTACTTACAGTAAATACTTATTTGATGAAATAAGTCCTCCTCACTACCGCATTCGCATCTAGTTCAAGACAATGGACAAGGTTGTAAAGGCAGCTACGAACCATCAGCACTTTTATTAAGGGTGTCTTGCGAATGGACAAGGGTGTAAAGGCAGCTACGGACCATCAGCACTTTTATGAAGGGTAGGTTAGAGGTGTTTCTGTTACCGTTTGCTTTGTCTCTCCTAAGGGAAAAAGGCAGAGCAAACGGTGTAAACGAACACCAAAAGCCTACCTCTAATATAGGGCCATCGATCATCCGACGCCCACAAGAACAACTGCGAGCTCTTGTAGAACTTCTTCTCTCAAGAACTCCCGCAGCAAAAGTAATCGCAGAGTCTACAACCTTACAAGTACCTACTCCTGCGGTGCGTCATCATCTCCTCCAGAAGAGAACAAGGTCAAGTAACGGTAAAAGATGTCTTGGCGTCGTGAGGTGAACGAGAAAGAGGAGGCCGAAAAGGCCTTCCTCAAGTTGGCGAAGAAGTTGTTTGAGATTCGCAAGATCGAAAACCAACCAAGGATAGAAACTAACCAACAAGCAAAGGTGGACACTAAGGGAGACTTGCTGGGACAGGTCGCAGACCTCAAGCTGGACAAGGCCTTCTGGGAGCAGCACAAAGATGTATTTCTACTTACATAGAGACTAGCCAACTACTGAGTAGTACATCTAGCCAACTACTGAGTAGTACATACTACTGAGCAGTAGTACATCAATGGGAGTTGGCTTATCGTATCCCTCCCCCAATGTTACCCTGCTCCTGTCCAACACTAAAATATACTTCTTCTACAACAGATCTACTAGATCTCCTCAATAGTACTAAGTATTCGATTCATAACAGATCATGATCATCTAGCTACTCGAATAAAAAACTTAGCAAAATCTACTTCTACAACAGATCTATTCAATGCTTACGCCGGACCTGGTAAAGAGAGTGGAGGATAGACAGAAAGCTATCGAAGACGAGGCGAAGAGAAAAGAGGCGGAAAAGGAAGTGAGAAAAGCGCAACAGAGAAAAGAAGAGTCGGAAAGCCCCTTTAACAGAAATAAACGAGAAGACGACTCTGCTACGCATAGGAAACAACCGGTATCACTGTTAAGCGGCTCTAGAACTAGATCTCACATAAGAACTTCTAGATGACTTAGAAGGAATGTATCAAGTTACAACGGGTGCTTCGAATTGAATTTGAAATTGTCCTAGCAGGGAACGAATTATGAGGCTCCTTCTTCAACAGTTTTATTTTTGTATCGTGGTCCGTCGAAAAAGAAAGGACTTACTCAATCATCTTTGTTCATCTGTCTACTCTACCAGGACTTGAATTTCGTGTGCCGCCATGAGCGTCCGGTGACCGATCTCTGCTTTGACGATTCTACCGGGTTTCTTTACTCCTCTTCCAAAGACAAAGCTGTCGTTAGGTGGAACGTTTCCGGAGATAAAATCTTCTCGCAGACAACTCTCTGCGGCCACGAGGGTGCAGTATGGTGTATCTCTCTGCATAAATTATGGCTTCTTTTTCAACACTATAATCTTCCCATTATGTGGACTATGCTCCTGAGTTGTCTCCGCCCTTGGGTTCAAGGGGGAAACAGGGGAACTCCAACTCACTCGTTAACCACGAATAGGGAAAAGGTAGCGCTAAATTAAGGCGAACTCATTAGTGGTGGTGCAGACGGGCTTTTGTGCTTCTGGGATACGAATCCGAATGCTGGAAAACCAAACCTAGGAAATGCTGGACCGAAAGAAAAGGTAAGTAGCTATTATGTGTGGAGGTTGAAGATCCAACAACAAGCTAGACTAGCGGGTAGAACTCGTCTGGGAAATCTTAGGCAACTCGCCGAATAGATTCAGACCGTCATGTGTGGAGGTTGAAGATCGAGCACTAGTAAAACCCCTAGTACAGCTTCTACATGAATCTATACTTCTTTATTTATGGATTGCTAGACTTCAATGACAACGTACTACCTCTTGCGGCCACCAAAGTCAGACCACGAGTTTTTATGTTAGTCCAATTTATCCCCTGGAGTGGGTACATTCATTCATTCACTCACTCACTCAAGATCAAGTCTTCTTCTATATCTCAAGCTCAACAAACTCCGAATCATTTGCAGATCCAGCTTCCCGCACGCGTGCATGCATATGGCGGCATCATTAAGGGTCTGCGAGCATCCGACTCGGGAATCTGCTTGTATACAGATAGATTTGGCGCGAAAAATCCAGCACATATTGCGTGCTTAGATCGCAACGACCCGAGCATTGTCCTCTGGAAGGTCATGGACTTCGGGGCTAAGATCAACATGCTATTGTGGGGACCTGTGGGAAACCCTAAGGTATGATTTTTAGAGGACATTTTTGAGCTGCTAGTGTATCTTACTCGTGAAGTAGATGACGAGTTCGAGTAGTGCATCTTCTTATAAAAAAAAGATCAAGATGTAGTTGTCAAGAAGAAGAAGAAGAAGACTCCAATCTTTATGTTGCATTATCGAGAACAACCACAACAATCACATCATTTTGTTTTTTGGAAATACTAATACTTAGTAAAAATACTTCCTGCTCAACTTCCTTCAACAAGGTTTTCGTCGCCCACGACGACGGTTGTTTATCGATTTGGTCTGGCGTGGCTGGTGAGGCTGGAAATGATGACGGTACTCCTCAGGGCAAACTAATGAAGAAGATGCAACTCCACGAAAAAGCGATCATTTCCATGAACACGCACAAGAATTTTCTCCTCACAGCAAGTAGTGACATGACCGTCAAGGCGATCAATAGTGGCCAGAAGGAGCTTCCTGTCGTGTTTCACGCCAAGGCGAATCGACCTTTGCGCGCAGTAGCAGCTTGGGACTTTCCTGAAGACCGTTGCTTCGCCTTCGTGTATGGCGGTGGCCGCGACCCCAAGGACGTCACGACGAGCTACCTCTTGCCAGACGAGTTTGACTTCTACCAGTCTTGGTTTGGGGAAGCGAATTCCACGATTATGACCCGACACGGAGCCGCGGGACCTCTGCATCGACTAATTTGGGTCAACGAAATCTCTAAAATCTTCTGCGCTAGTGAGGATGGCGAAGTGAAAATGTGGGACGCGGAAACACTACAACAGTATCGAGGATGAACGTTGAAGTGCTGGAATATGTCCACACACTCGAGCATCTTCAAGCAGGACACCACTACGCAGCTTCAGCTACAACTCGCATTCACTGCATGTTGGAATCATGTACTTCCGCAGCTTCGGTGCTACGACTCGCCCTCGCATCTACTGCATGCCGTAATGCAGGCATGAATTCTCCCTTTATTACCTAACAGGCATATGATCATATCACAGTGATTTTGGGGGACCACTTTCACTCTAGTATGAGATCGCTGAAATAAGACTTCTATAGACGCTGAAACGCTCAATTTGCATGTGTCTTTCTCACCTCCACAAGCGAGGTCTATTTGTCTGCTCGTCGAACCTTCACCAGTTGTACTAAAAAAAACTGTACAAAACGTAAAACCAGATCAAAACTAGTGCTGCGAACAAGTAGCCCCTGCAGCTGCTCACTTCTTCTGTCAGGATTTGGCTATAAATGGTGTTCTAGATTATTTTCTACACCCACATGGTAACGGTTCTCAACAACAAGTGTAAAAGCTCAATGAAGTTGGAGAACAATGAACCTGTAGTTGTGGTTCTTGTAGTGCTCCTTACCACCGCCGCCGCTGATCGGTCTTCAAAATCTAGACTGCTGCTCCTATGAGAACGCATACTTATCTCTCCGTACTCTCATTGTCATTGATCCTAGCACAATTCCGATCAAACAACGAAAGTCAAAAGAACGAGGTCAGTTTCATTTCCCTGATGCATTCTCCCCTATGATGTTGTACAGGGCATTTTTCTTTTTGGATATTCAGCGGGACAGCTGCGACAGAACGACGCCTATCAATGTGACCACTACAGTTCCAATAACAACAAGCTGAGCAGAGAGTTTATTGCTTTTTTCATCAATTACTCATGGTTGATGGAGGTTCTTCTTACCTTCCCTGACCCTGATCCAGAAATTCTCAGTCTGCCAACATACAAAAAATGTCTTGCACCTCCAGCTGTGCTGCTAAAGTGGTCTCAACATCATCTACAGAAGCAGTTCCAGTTTCTTCGTCAGCTGGAATGATTTTGCCTCACGACAATGACAACATCACTGTCGTCAAGGAACAAGACGCTGGTGAGCATCTGTTTAGCCGCACTGTCACGAATACAACAATTATGAGTGCTTCTCCGTCTGCAAGAGAGTCTGTGATATCACAATCAACATCTTCTACTGCTGACGAGGTCGAGCAGGACGTGTTGGAACATGCACATGGAGAACAAGAGGAACAAAAATGCAGAGGAACAACATCTGCTAGCACCACAACGGCTGCTAGTCCCTCTTTAATATCTTCACCGTCACCTCCCTCTTCACCTTCATCTTCCTCTTCTTCCTCTGCTCACCCCAGACACAAGGACACGTGGCAAAGCAATTTGGTTCAAACCCATCCTGCAGTCCTTACGGAGTTTACACGGGAACACGAAAGTTCATCCTTCACCATTCGCGAGTTGAGGAGTGGCCGGACCGGCATCCGCACGTGGCCAGCGTCATTGCAGTTACTGGATTATCTCACGCAGCAAGAGGATGGAGCCCGACGAGTCCGCGAATCCGCACACAGTTGTGGAGGGGACGAGAACTACGAAAGGTCCTTTTTTGATTGAAGAAGCGTAATCTTCCCATTCTATGTTGATCTACTTCAATTTTTCAGTATCAAGTAGGCATTAATAGCGGTACATTTGGTGTGCACGACTTCGTTTGTCTCAATATCAAAATAACTTACTTACTCGATTTCAAAATCACTAGCCTCCAAACAACATCATAATTAAGGCCAGCCCAGCAACGAAGAGTTCTGGAGCTTGGAACAGGGGTTGGCGTGGTTGCATTGGGACTGGCCAAACTAGGGTGTTTTCGTGAAGTGCTAGCGACAGACCACGATAAAGCGACTTTGCGGAACTTGCGGTTCAACGTGAATCAAAATCGAGCCGCGGCGTCAGTTCGAGTGAAGCAATTAGACTGGGTGTCTGTGCAGAAATGTGTAGGTGCAGCTTCCTGGGGTACTAGGTGGAGTGGTGTTGTAGGAGAAACAAGTACAGATCGAAGTCATGAAGCTCATGAAGTAGGCGGTGGATGTGATGTGAAGACGTCAAGAACATCTTCTTCATCTACTTCTTTAGCACCCGGAAGCGTTGAGGATACTAGCGTTAGCGAAAAACCTGTACAACTAGTTGCTACAGAGCCAGGACAACAGAGCGACGTTGACGAGGACATCTTCGACGATGACTTTTTGGTTCCTACTTGGCGCAGAGACGACTGTAGCGACTCCGAGAAGGAAGAAACGGGGTCTGTGGACAGTGGAGAAGCGCCAGAGGCTGCGGACGAGACGACGAAATTCCGGGCGTCTTCACAAGCACACAAAGACCAACTACTAGTAAAGCAACGACAACACCAAGAGCATTATGATTTTCTCGTTTCCGAATTAGAAAGGGGATCGTTAGATCTCGTAGTCGGCAGCGATCTGCTCTATGAAGACACGGAGGAACCACTCCTAGCTGTGCTTCACCTCATCCTGACGCACCCACCTCTGCGTCACATGCACATGTTGTCCTGTGTGCAAGAACAACATCAGGAGTTGGACAACATCACTTCCACCAAGGCTAGTTCTGCTTCATCATCTAGCACAACAAGAACAAGAACAAGCACACCCAAGATAATCCTGATGTTCCAAGAGCGGACTGAAGGTAGAGTCACCAAATTTGCGGAGAAGTTGAGACGTATGGTTGCAGCTTCTACTTCCGGGTCCGCTGGAACCACCTCAGCCAGGGTGAACTTGAAGCATATTTGCGAGACCGAAAATCGTCCCTGCTGGCTTCTTGAAGCTGAGAGGTTTTTATAGTCAAAGTCATTATGTAAAGTGTGGTAAGTAAGTAGGTGAAGGTGAAGGTGATGTAGGTTAACATTGATGAGTGTCGTCCTGTTGGTTGATTGTACGTTTAAAAAATGCAGCCTGCAATTTACAGTATGATAAGTTGAATGTCTTCATCATCCTCGTCATCTACTCTCGTCATCTTAGGTCCATGATTTTTGATATGCACGCATGATGTTACCAACCTACAGGAGCCGCTCCTCTGGTTATACAACTTTTACTTGCATTTTAAATCTGTATCTTTTGTATAGCGAGTTTTGCACAGTCAATGATCTACTTAAACTTACTCATCGAACGACAATTGCATGAACAAGAAGGTTTATGCCGCTTCGCTTCATCCATGGACTAAGGGACACGGTCATGGTACTAGATGTGAATACTAGCATGGTGAAAAAAAACATCAGCCGCATCAATATAAATCCAACATCAGCACTACTTGATAGTTTATTGGACAAGCCTAACGACGCTAACAGGAAATAACTGAAATGCTCTTGCTCACACAACTTCCCATTTCCGCCTTTGCCACAGACGACACGAACCACTTGCAACTGCTCTCAAGAAATACACTCTCAAGTGCAATCTCCCTGAATTGAATTGAATCTCAAGAAATGCACTCTGCAAACTGCTCAAGTGCAATCTCAAAAAGTGCAATCTCGAGAAGCATGAGATGAACTGCAAAGAAGAAGAAAAAGGGAGTGGAGAAGAGAGGCAAATGCAACAACAAGAACTACAATAATTATAAGTAGTAGAGCAGTTTACACCCGAAAATTCTGGGTATGTCATCATCAACATGGGCGTGGCTTGTTCGATCTCTTTTTTTGCAGGCTATGAAGGTCGCCAAGAACGATCGCTAGTTTTCATGGCTCAGAATTCATTGACGTTTTTTTCCATCAGGGAATACAGAGAAAAACGTATGGGATGGAATATGGAGAGAGTCGGTTGATTTAATGAAATCGGGCATTTTTTTTCTCGAGCCTCCTACTTGCAATACTACTGCGGTAGCAGCACGCTATAGCACTAGTGCGTTCCTTGTTTAATCGACGAACAAGAGTCCACCTTATTTTTTCACCCGGACGAGACTTCCAAACTGCTATTGAGTTATGCGTTGCCCTGCTTCTCCTCAACGTTTGTTTCTCTTAAAAAAGAAGATCACTATTTTCTATTCACGCAGTTCCACTTTCTAGCTGCTCGCTCCAGTTGCCGCGCCTAGAGATCCTGAAGTTGAATGAGAATTACGTCATCCAAAAGAACATGATTTACAAAAAAGATCATCAGAAGAGTCTTCAGTTCCTCAGTAGAGGCCTTTTCTAATTGGTTTGCAAAAGAATGTCTTTGTGCATTCGCCATTCGCCATGTTTTGATAAGCAAAAGCAAGAACTTGTTGTGCCATGATATTCATTCGCTCAGCGGCGGCGGCGGGTCAGTTGCGTTTTAGCGTTGACAAAGAAACTAAGCAGCCAGACTAAAGCTGCTTAAACTCATCTTATCTACAAATAGAAACTTCATTTTCCTTCCCTCCCCTCCAGGCGCACCTCCACTTGATGACTTTTTTGTGAAGATTAAGACTTGAACTTTAAGGACAGTTTTTCTACCTCCGTAGTAGTTACTCACTACTTCTAGTAGATGAAGTTGTAGTACACTCCAGATTGTGTGAATGGTAATCAAAACTGCGATCATAATTATCAGAGAAATTTATGATGCCTAACTATCTCCGGCAACACGCTTGCACCAGAATGCTTCGTAGTAACAGGCGTCTGCTTCTGGACAGTACTCTATTTTCGACGACGGCACCAGACGCTACAACTGTTAACACAAAAAGAACAATGCATGAAGGAATGAAAAGACCCTAGGACAATAACACTCCCCCTTCCCCTCTTCTTCTTGCTGAACTTAATACCCCTCGAATGGGTCGTAAACTACTACTACTACTAACACGTCGACTAGCAGCACCGAACCAACAGGCGAGAAAATGAGCAAAAAAGCAGGGAAGTGGGGTAGTAGGAAGAAGGCCCCTTGTGGCGCGAATTACTCTGACAACGAGGATGTGGAATTGCCTGAGCTGGAGAGCGAGAAGATTGACGGACTTTATCGCAGACTTGAAGCGCCTCTGGCGACGGCAATTGCAGACTTCAAGGCCGCTGAGAAAGGGAGAAAAAAGGGGAAAGGCAAAAAGGGCGAGGGCAATGGGGGCAAAAAGGTTGACGGGTGGCAGGATGGTAACAGGGCGCGAGCTGCTAGGGAAGAGGAAAGCCCACGGCGGACCGAGAAAGGCAAAGGGAAAAAGGGCAAGAGGAAAAGCGGAAAGAAGGGCGAGAAAGTATCAAAGCGAAGCGGGGTGACGAGCAAACAGAAAGGCCTTGAGCGCGGGCGGGCCTCCTTGCTCACTGAAGGCAATGGCAGAGGCGAGGGGCTGAAGGGCACTGTCAGATGGAGTCCTCATGTGGTGGAGTTGTTTTCGGGGAGCCGAGTGGAGCTGCGGCCGCGAGTGCAACAGCAGGCAGGCTCGGGTTCTTCTAGTTGCGGAGCAGTTCTTGAGGGTAATGAGGTAGTAGCGCAGCGCCGAAAGACTCAGCGCACGCCACGCCACCGGCGGCACAAGATGGAGGAGGATCGCCAACACTGTGAGTGGCCTCAAGTAGTCGGTGGGGACGGAGACTTCTGGTGGGTGAATAAAAAAGAGCAACTTAGTACTACGGATGCAGATTGGGATGATTTCCACGTCGGTGCTGTTGCTGACCAGTCTCTTGTTGAAGACGCTGAAGCCGTACAACAGGGTGAAGAGCATCAGCAAGGCCAAGAGGTAGCAGAGTGGGATAAGTATGGCATCGACGGGGAATGGTGTCAAGAAGGGGAAGAATGTTGCGCTGAAGCTGAGGCCGAATGGGACTGGAATGGGGATGCGTACCTCTCTCCTGGAGAATACGCCCCCGGCGAGGGGGCTGAGAACTGGCAAGACAACAGCGACGCATATGATTGGGGAAATCAAGATGATTGGGGCACTGCAGAAGGGAAAGCATGGGAAGAAGATGGTGGCGAGCAGGATGCAGCTTCCTCCGTTCGACAAAGCAGCGCAAAGAACGAGAAGATTTCGCTGACCCCACGCAACTGCTTCGTGCAACAAGATGCTACGTTCTCGCAAGGTCGAGATTCTTTGTCGTGTGGAAGTCCAACGCGCTCTGCCACCTTGCACTTGAAGAGACCGGGGCCAGAAGATGAAGAGCGGGCAGCTCTGCAACAGCAGCAGCAGCAGGAGGAGCTGGAGAGGGTCAAGCGTGAATATGACGAAAAGCAGAAGAAAATTCTGCAGCTTGAAGCTGAGCTCGAAAGCGCACGCGCTGCAATACGCCACCAGCAGGAAGCAGGGGAGACACCTCTAGGGTACAAAGAGCCTCCAAATAGGAAAACATTAGCTGCAGAGGTCAACGCAGAACTACAACGACTACATCAGCAGGAGAAGGCAGAAGCAGGTGTAGTTCCACTGATAGAAGGGCAGGGTCTTATGCCTCCTTTCTCTAGGACTACTGGGTCGCGTGCTCCTACGTCGTACTTATCAAAAGCAAACTCTGAGGGCGAGGCGAGGAGCCATCGTGAAGACCATCTCGAAGACCTTCATGCAGGACGTGAGCCCTCTTCCGGGTCCGCAGCATCGCATAGTGTTCCTTCGACCTCCAATAGCTTGACAAAGTCGCCAACCAAAGGGACGCAAGAAGTTGGCACGTCCAGAGAACGCAACGCCAGACCTGCTGACGCACAGCTTTTAGTTCCTTCTATTCGTCTTCCGACTCAGCGACCGTGCAGAAGCGTCGGTGCAACAAGCGATCATCGCAAGAGAAGTGTACTCGATGTTGCATCAGAGAGGAAAGGACGAAGACGCGACTCTCGGAGGCGAGCATCGCGTAGCCGCAGCAAAAGACGGCAACGTCAGGAGAACGAAGTTCCGCGGCCTGCTCATTCTGCGCAGTACGCCACGTCCGGCGTCGATAAAACTCGCCATGACACGTCGGCGCGCGATGGTTTTGCTGCAGCTGCCTCACAAGCGCCAGGAACCCAGAAAGCTCACCCTACTTCGTCATCTTCCTCAAGACGCAAGTATGTTCTTCAAAAAAGAACACATATTCGGAACCCTACATCTACTCCAAGCCCCACGACATCGTCTTCTTCCATGCTTTCGTCCAGGAAAAACGTCAACAACGACATCAACTCGATTCCGTCTGCGCCGTCATCAGCGAGGGACGATGTAGAAGAACGCTGGAGACGTGCTCAAGTAGCAAGGATAACCGCGACTGGCTACAAAGGAGCTGCTCCATCTAGTGGTGGTTCTGCACCTCCGTCAAAAATTGTGCCAGTTGTACAGTCACATGCTCCGACGAACACTACTAGCACAACTGCACCTGCTCCTTCTACATCGATTAGTACTCAGCGTGCAAGCGCCAACTTCTCCAAAAGAAGGGAACAAAAAGACGTAAACATTGACGGAAGTGGCACCACGAGACCTGCATGGGAAGATAAAAAAGACCACATGCGTCCTACGACAACTACGACCACAACATCATCTTCCTCTTCCCCACCGAAAAAGATCATGAAGACGAGCTCATCCCCTAGCAACAAGGAGAACCTTAATATTTGGAGTAACACCTTAATATTTGGAGGAACACGAATAACTGGTGCTTCCTACATCAAGGGAAATAATGTTGGGCCCATGACATCCGGAGCGACGCCGTCTGCTGTCAAGAATGTAGACAAATGCGTCGGGCCTCTGCCTACGGAGACACATCCAACAACTACTACAACTAGTACTTCCAGTACGGAGAGCAAAACGGGAGTAGAGCCACTTGTTCAAGCCCAAAGCTGCACCAAGAGTACGGCGTCTCACTTCGCACAAATTTTAGGAGCCGCAGGAGTAAATTACACCACGAGCAGTCACAATCAACGTTATGACGATGAGGAAGAAGAAGGTGAGATCAATCTTGATACGGAGTCAGAGATGGACCCCTTATCGCCGCAGCGGGCCCCTCAACGTTATCTCCACAGTTCTGGGGAAGAGGTTAATTCATCAGATGAAGACGATGACTATGTTTTGTCTTCTTCAGAATCAGATGGAAGTCGTGAGAGGAACAGGAGGAAATCAAGTAGATTCTATTCTTCCAGCTGCGACGACGATAAGCTTCTTAAAGATAATTCCAACATTAACAGCAGTTCCAGTTCGCTTGGGGGCAGCGACAATGCGAAAATTATCAGCAGCCGTCAAGAGAAGAGCAATTATTTCAGGCGGGCGGTACCCATCATAACCTCCACGACGACGCTCGTCCCGGAGGAGAGTGTGGTAGAATCGAGGGCAAAGCCGAAGCGTTCTCTCCCGACACTGCCCAATGATCGAGACGAGGCATCCTTCGAACCCGTGCCTTCATCAATGCAAAGATCTGGATTCGAAAAGCCAAAGAGTAGAGGTAACACAGCTACGTGTTCTTCATCAAGCAGCGGTGGAAAAATTGCACATGAGAAGCAACATCCTGCTCTACGTCCAGCACCAGCACCAGCACCAGCACCACCAGTGCATAGTCGTAGACCACGTAGACGCTACTCCTCGTCCTCGTCTGGTGATGAAGGCAAGGCAGGCAAAAACGATGCGGGGAGCGACATTCTGCGTGTACAGCGCATGATCGAGAAACAAGTTCAATTGAATGGGGGCGCTTTAACACTGGAACAAAAAACACATGCGAAAACGCTTTGTGAGCGAATACGAAAAGCTGAGCGAATCAGGTGAAATACACGAGGACTAGATCTTACTTCAGGTGAGAAGAAGTTCTGACGCGGGTAGGGCGAGCATCAAATAGTAGTACTGCTATTACATTTGTCATTCATAACTACCAATTTTTCTCAATTTCTTTCCTTGCGCAACGAATTAATATTTTTCGGCTTGATCTCGTCACTGAGCACTAGTATTAATATACTGAGCATGTTAACGCATAGTGCTTGTCTCCAGCATACTGGCATACTGCAACGCAAGAAAAAATGCATATTTAGTTCACCAACATGTGCTTAAAACATATTTTTTTACGGAAAACTACAACAATTGGCGCCCGCCCTGGAAATGAGTTCCATCTTGTTTTCATCGTCATGTTATCCATTGCGCACAAAGACAAAGAGCTTACGACTTCTCATCCAACTGACTCGCTTGTTTGCATCTTGGCAGACCCGCTTAGACTCATTATGCACCACCTGCAGCTGTTCGGGAATCAAAATTGCCTGTGCGAGATGCGTCAAGACAAAAAGAGAACACAATTGTCCCTAGCATTTTACACTACCAATGTTGCTTGACGAAGATGATGATCACGAAAACGAATCTGTTGTACATCTTATCAAGATGATGAGTTTGAGTGCCGGACTCACTTTCCACTACAGTCTGCTCTTGTCAATTATCTTATCTGTCGTTGATAATGGCAGTGACGGAGTTCTTTATCAATCTAAAAAGTGAGGAGTTACTTAACCAATATGGAATACCCAGAACAAGTATACAAGTAAGTAGTAGTAACCCGATGAGATGCCATTACTAAGCTTATGTGTTTGTGCTTCACTTGTCTTGCTTTTAAGTCGAATATCAGTTTCATCCTTTTTCTTTTTTATTGCACAGGCCCAGGTGGTAGAAGAGCACCGGTGAGTCAGTTTTTGAGAAAGACAATGCTGTCACTTTAGTTTGAGAAAGACAATGCTGTCACTTTAGTCCTGAGTTCGTTGTAGAGGTACAGGCACTGTGCATAAAGTAGATTCCTGCGATATGTCTGACTGACTGTTAATACGTAACCATGTTGTCAATGTGAATATCGAGTGATAAAGCTTTTCTTGTATGTAGATAGAAGTCCGTAGCTGGAAGATTATCACACTTCTTGCTCGTTGTTCATGTGAGTTTGCATAGCTGCGCCGCCTTGTTGCCTGAAGAAGAGTATTCTGTTTTCACACATTTTCTTCATTTTGTAAATAAATTAGAGTTTATTCGCTCGTAGTACTATTCGTTCGACAACAAGACCTGCCTGCTCGAAGCTGCCCTTCTCCACTTCAGCATCTTGTTCGAACAGATTCTCCTGGCTTCAAATTTGATGAACAAGATGAGTGGGCTTCCAGAAGAGTGTGCGCCTCCCGACGAAAACGTGGAGGACGACGGTCTTGACGTGGAAACAAGGAGGTTGCTGGCCGAAGCTGGCATGGAAGGGTTTGTCGATAATTCGTCTCTCTCGGCTCCTGCTCCAGGAGGTGGAGGAAATGGAACAGGCTCGGCGCTTCAAGGTGAGCAAGTATTGCCATTCTTGGAAGACGCGGCGGACGACTCTTTTCTGCCTCAACATGGAGGTCGTGGAGTAGAACAACAGGGTATGATGGTGATGGATAACTACGATGTCGATGTCGAGGAGGAGCATGGCCTCTCTGGACTGGTGATTGAGGATTTCGAGGCTTTCCTAGAGCATGGCCCTGACCACAAGAGTGCGAAGGAAAAGAAAGATCGGGAAAGCGATATCCAAAATATCATCGACGAGGATTTATCCGATGGTGAATTGGAGCTTCAGCGCCAGATGCAGGTAGATAGTGGTAGTGAGGAGGGTGAGCAGGAACAACAAGAAGAGGCGGAAGATGATGGGTTGCAAGAGGACCAGTTCTTGCAAAACCAAGATCCTTTGGCGATATTTGGAGAAGGGTTCCTAGAAGAAGACGAGCTGGAAGAGGACCACAACTTACTTCAAGGAGACAAGGTAGCATCAGACGAGGACTTGGATTTGGAAAGAGCGTCTTCAAATTCGTCGAGTAAGCCAACTGTAGGACAGACGGTTACCAGTAAGGCTGGTGGAAAACGAATTGTCGTTGTGCCGGCAACCGCAGCTGCATCAAACAAGGCCTCTTGTTCCAGAGTAGCTGCAGTAGTCGGTTCTTCTTCGAGCTCATCTTCTTCAAAGGCCTCTTCCAGACGTCGGGAACGGGAAGGAGATATTGCGCCATCTTCCGCCAGAAATACCAGGAGAGACGTGGATGATAGAGATAGAGATAGACCACATGCTTCCTCGTCTATCAGAAGAGAGCGAGGAGAGCGTGACAGACATGCGTCTACAGTTGGGAGAGAGCGAGACGGAGCAAACGCAAAGGCTGCAGAAGTTGTGTTACTTGAAAGGGAGAGACGCCGACGTGGGGACGATAGCAGGGAAGCGAAGGATGACGACAGGAGACGCAGACGCGATGATGTAGATCGCGTTGGCAGTTCTCGAAACGCGGCTGGTGTCTATGCTGAAGACCGGGACAGGGATAGAGACAGGGCAGCTACAACTAGAAGACGAGCAGACGACAGGGCAAGGAGCGCTTCTCGTCGTCGAGGACGTCCCTCTGAGCAAGAGCGCAGACCGCGACGTGTAGGTACGAATTACAGTCCCGAACCAGAGAGGAAACATGATGAAGAAAAAGATCTTGCGCAAAACGACCACCAGAGAGAAGACGAGAGGAGAAGCAAAGAACGCCGCGAGGCTTCTCTTAGACCACGTTCCCGAGTGCATAATGAAAAGCACGAAAACGATAGTACCAATGATGTCCAAGGAGGTTCTATCAGAAGTACGGAGCGCCGTGTCGTTGAGGAAGGGCGACGTCTGGACAGGACCAAAAGTGAGAATGCATCTGAGGCAGCACGCGATCAGACGAGTGCCCGGGATCTTCGCACTGGAGACGATCGAAGTAAGCGCGATCGGACAGCAGGAGATGACGTTACCCGAGGAAGAGGACGTGGTCGCGAAGATTCCCTCCGTCGTCCTCGTAGTCGATCCAGACGGGGCGCAGGTCGTCGTCGCGGCCGCGACTCGCGATCCCGAAGTCCTCGCGGTAGAACACGCGACGCCGCACCAGGTGGTGGCAGCAGATTTCAAATTGAAGATGCATCGAGTTCGAGAAGGAACAAGGAAGAAGACACGAAAGATAACACTGTAGTCAACACCGCAGCAAGAGCGAAGCCAACTAGAGTTTACAACACAACAGCTGGCGCGTCTGCTTCAACACGCTCGTCCGGCGAAGAGAACAACAGTGATGCTCTTGATTCCAAAATAGAGGGCATGGACTTAAGGAGCATGGAGAGGGGTCAACAGGACTCGTCAAATAATCCTTTCTTAGCACCACCAGCTGACGAATTCCACGCAGAGGAACAAGAACAGGTCGTGATGAAACTCCTTCAAGGAGATGGTACAACTGGTGGTACTGCTTTATCTTCTGGATCTGCTTCTCGAAGTTCTGGACCTGAAGCTGGAAATCAACATCAAGATGTTGCTGGCTTCATCGAGCAGCAAGTGGAACAAAGCGGAGCTGGAGTCGCAAGCTTACCATCCTCTAGTACCGATCAGAAGACGAGATACTACTTCAAGAGTAAGATTATGGATCATGGTAGCACACCTATGGCTAAGGAATTGGAGGCGCCAATTCTAACACCCAGTGAAATCAAAGCGATCGCATTTGGCGCTCTTGGCAAGAACCCGAATCGTAAAGCGCCAGTGATACAAGTGGTGCCTGCAGCATCAAATGTTGATAGGTCGTCTAGCACATATGCGGCATTTTCTAGTACGGAGGACAAATTGAAGATGCAGGAGTACGCAAATGCGAATGCGAATAGCACTACAGTGCGTACAGTTCCTGTTCTCGGAGAAGGAGGTGGTAAAACGCCTAAACCTACGCCTGGAGGTGCACGTGTAGTGCCTGTTCTAGGAGAAGGAGGGACTCCTAAACCTACGCCTGGAGGTGCACGTGTAGTGCCTGTTCTAGGAGAAGGAGGCGCGAAAGCCACGACGCCGTCAGCACGCTCAGTACCTGTCCTCGCAGCTAATATGTCTCGCTATGCTCCAGTCGTGATGGCACCGCCTCAGAGGGCAGCACCGCTTTTATATCCTCAACACCAAGGAGAGTCCTCGGGCACCACGGGAGCAGGAGTGCTTGCTGAGACAGGTCGTGCATCAAGAAAATCGGGTAATATTCGAGTTGTTCCACCTCTCGGAGTACAAGATAGTGGTCGTTTATCTGGCGCATCACGAGGACAAAGTAGTGAGGAGCCACCAATCATAGTGGTTCCTGCGCAAAAGCCAAATCCAAGTGCTATACGCAATGTACCTGTTGTTGTTGATGACCCCGCGCCGGCGACAATGTTATCGAGTAAGAATAATCCATTCAGTAAGGATCCGCCCGTTGTCATGTCATCTCGAGAAGCAATAGAAAGTGTACAAGAGGACAAGAAAGTGAAAGATGCCACGACAACTGGTGTCAGAGGACATGACAAGGCAGAGGCTAGTAGGCGAGACGTGAAGGAGGTCACTGTTAAAAGCAACGACGATCGAAGCACTAGTAAGGCGCCTGCTTCTTCAAGTACAGTTGTAAACAAGGTCAAAGTAGAATTTCCACGTGGCACTGATGCTGTAACTTCTAAAACACAGCCCCCAGCATCTTCGTCTAATAAAACTAGTGGCGCTGGTACTTCCGCCACTACCTCCACCGCGTCCCGCACCAGCTCTCTCGCTTCTGCTGGGTTGAAGTGCGTGTCTGGCTCAGAGGTCGGCCGCCAATGTGGCACCACACTTGCGCTCTATTCGGTCCTGGATGTCGAAGTCTTAGACCGCGTCCTATACTGCTTTGAGTACCTGTGGCGCGCCTATGCAGAATTCCATGATCTCTTCCCTGATGGCACAGCCTCCAACGAGGCCACTCTCTTTCACTTGAGGCGAGCTGGCGCCACGTTTCATCGTCCTACATTCGCAAAGTATGTGCATGTACCAGGAGATGGAGAGCAAGCCAGTGAAACAAATGAGAATCAAGATGTTGCAGTCGAAAAAGTCGATAATCGAGATGAACAGGAGAAAGAGAAAGCAGCTGCTGGAAAAATGGACGATGATCAAGATGCCTTTTATAGCTCATCAACTGCAGCGAAAAGACCAAAGGTCGATACATCCAACGAAAAAGACAGAAGTCGAGGCTTTTCTAGATCTAGAAGGAGTAGAGATAGAGGGGATCAACGTGGTGTCGTTGGAAGTTCGAGACGAGATGAACGAGTGACTCGCTCTGGTGCTGGGAATAGTACCGCGATCTTCGAGAAACCAACAAGTAAAGCCGATAGGGACCAAAACAACCAGACACTGCAGAATGAGAAGAGCAAGATGACAGCCGAGGAGAGGAAGCTAGGCAGGGCTCGTGGCAATCCCTACGTCGACTGGACA